CAGACAGAAGGAAGCACATAGCAAGAGAAGCAAACTACTGTAACTACTGTGGGATCTGATAACATTTATACTCTTAAAAAGAATCAACCCAATACCTGAAATCTGTAATCTTATAATCCTGCTTTATTCCCCTCCCTCTTTTATACTCTCCCTCTTTCTCAGCATTCACATGTATACTTCAGTTTGATAAAGAAAGAAATATAAACCTCATGACTTATCATTTTTATCTGCAGCTCATAAAAGCTTCACACAGCTGACCCTGTAGTATCATGCTTCTGAAATGCAACAGTGCCACCTTCAGCTCACACTAAATATGGCTTGCACATAAAACCTCCATGGAAGAAGCACAAGGATTTTTCCTGTCATCCAGAAGAGTCTTGCTAGAAAGCGCAGAAGCACACCTATAAACCTGAGCAGAACCTGGACGTTCACATACTGAAGCACAGATGTTCATTCAGAACGGCAGTGCTTTATTTTCATAAATAAACATAAACAAAGAGCAATCAAATACTACTTTCCAGTAGGCCAGCCCTGGCATATTCATACTCCTGAGTAGGAGAATCACAGAATATTCCCCTGCCACTGCACCAGCAACTCGCATGCGGGCAGAGCAGCCTCCTTCCTGCTCTGGGACCTCATATAATTTGCCAGCAATCCCTGGGTACGTTGTGTCCCAGAGCGAGAGCCAAACTACAGTATATACATGATACACATATGTATACACACACAGTATACACTCCACACTGCCTACAGTATGCACTGTACCCTCCAACACGGCTCTGCTCTGAAAGGAGCCTACCAGAAGACACAACCCCCAGGTTGTGTTGCAGCCTCTCCATGGTATATGAGGAGATAGATGCATGTCTAGCGCATGACCCATTAACACAGGTATACCCTCTGCCATGTCTGCTGCCTGCCAAATTGAGACTGAATTAAATGTGTATGTTCCATTCTGTTGTGTAAGTAAGTTTCTTCCAAACCACAGCATTTGACAGATCCCTTTTACCTCCAACCGAAAGAGATAGCTACTGAAAACTGAATCAGCCTGTCATTTAATATTAAAATGGATAAAAGTTTCAGTAATTTCAGTCTTGCTTTGAAGGTTTGATTATTATCCAAAAATCGATGCCATGATGTTTAAACAACAAAGAATAGTTAATTAAATTTACAGTCTCCTTGCTGTCAGACTCCAGATTTTATATTTGGTTTGATTATAATGGCAAAACCCCATCATTCATATGTGTAATTAGAGCCAACTCTGAAAAAAAGTTAATGTATATCACAATTAAAGTTGAAGACTCTGGTATTTTGAATGAAAAATCTGTGATTTCAGTTTAGATGAGACATATTTGACTGGAAAGAGAGAATATTAAACAATATAGGCTTGAAAATCAAGGCGTAAAGGAATTACCTGAGATAATTTCTTTGACTTTGTTCTACAATATTAATGAGACAAAAAGTGTGTACTATAAACACAGAGCGCTATACTCACCCACTGTCATACCATCCATGTAACGCTTGATGATATCAAAGGAATCTCTTAAATTTCCTTCTGTTATGTCAAATATGATATCTGCCTGATTGGCTGGATACGTAGGTGTGATGGCACGAAGAAAAATGATCTCTGCGAATAAAGAGTATCACAAAATGGATAAGAATTAATGACAACATCACTGAAGAACCTGATAGAATTTTATGTAAAATGACTTGTACTTAAAGCTGATAACGGATACTTCCCCCTGCCCCCAGTTTGTGTTTTAAAATGGAAAGAAAGAACATCTAGGGGAAAGGAGGATTCTAACTGATCGAGTCTTTCCTCCTGCACTATCCAAGAAGTCTTGCAGTCAAAACACTGTTAATTTTAGAGTCCAGAAAGACCACTCTTAGAAATCAGATAGACTTTCCACGTGCCGAAAAAGGACACCACTGAGGATCCACAGAATGGGAGGTGCAAAGGGACCAAACAGATAAACAGCCAAATCCTGAATCCCTTGGACAGTGAAACAAAAGCATTGTCGTTACAAATTACAGAGTTCTTTCAAGTACTGGAAGAGTGCTTTAGGTAACATAAATAAATAAAGAAATAAATAGAGCAAGACCACTGTGAGGCAGCTAAGTATTATTATTCTTATTATTACCCTCGCTGTGCAGATGATAAAACTAAATCATAGAGTTATAAGAATTCACCCAAGGCCATGTGCTGAATTACAGCTTAAGGACATCTTCTGGCTTCAAGTATTACTCTCAGATCGTTCGGTCTCATCTCTTTTTATTAAATCATGAGGATGGACTAGTAAGGGAACTGTTTGGGAAGTGTTCTGGGCCAAATCCATAGCTCTGCTGCCAGTACACCTGGTGAAGCTAAAGGGGTGTGTATGGGAGTAAAAGTGGCTACGGGGCATTCTTCCATTCTCTGTGATGTAGGGCCAGCTGAGGGCTGAAATAGGCCTAATGCAATTTACAGTAGCTTTATGGATCTAATGGTGGCTACGTCGTTCCCATATGAACTGCTGTTCTGGTCAAGTATTAGGATGTCTTTTGCCCCACTCCTTCTGACCAGAAGGGTTTGGAGAGTGACTGATGTAACAGTGAAGAATCAGCTTTGACTTTCATTTTGGGACAGTCTTCTGAGGCAGCAAGACTGTGACTCTGATTGGATTTAAGATCTTCAAAAACTCCTTCAAAACAATCTCCCTTTCATCACTCCTCTTATATTTTTTTCTGTGTCTTTACTACACAGTAAGTTGCTGAGTGGTTCATCCTACAGAGAAGCAGGGCTGAAGGCAGTCATTCCACGTGTGGATGTGTAGGCAATCCCCAGTGAAGCTGGGAGACAACAAATACAAAAGCCAAAGAGCAAAACTTGGCTCTTGATTTGTAAGTTTATTTGTGAACGAAGCAAAATGAGTGTGATCCCCCCAAAAACTACAAGACTTAAGGCCTGCAGGTACTGCAGAGGCCAAAGAAACTAAAGATATACACAAAAGTGCCCATGAGAGTACTTAATGTGGGGATGGAAAACTCAGTTTGGACAACTGGGCATTCTGCATGTGACAAGAAGGCCAAGCTGGACATCTGTAGTTTTATGATATTGATTATATTAACTGTATAGGAAGCATCAATTGGATGCAAACTGGATTTTACTGCTTTAGATGTGGCCTTTTTTTTTAAATCATATAACCTAAAAAATAAGCGTGAGATTTTCAGAATAGACAGTGTGATTTATAAGTGCAAATCCTAATGGCTTTCAAGGAGTTTGTTCTCCAAAGTCACTTGGATGCTTTTAGAAAGTCTTAGCTTGAAAGCTTTCTGCTCAGTCCCTGGAATTTCCCTTCACTTACTCTATGTTTAAAAAGTAACACTATTTTTTCACAGGTCACAAATCAAAAAATCACAATACTAGATGGTGTTTACAATATACTGCATTTTGTGATTAATGCCTGCATGTATATAAAGGCCATGCGCTAGGAACAAGCCATTGGACAATAATGAACAACAGACCATAAACAGATGAGAAGAAATATATAAAAGTACCTACTTCCTATGGCAAAATCTGCAAGAGGGAAGAAAAAGGAAAAAGCACACAGCTATTATGTGAGTAAATGTGGTAAATGAGAACTCGGACTCAATATTTCCTTAGACTGGGAAGCTGTATGAGTTAGTGCTCAGAATGACTTTTTTTCCCCATAAAATTAAAACTCCTGGATATTGAAGGTTTCAATTAAACGAATAGTACACTATAATTTGGAACCGTGCAAACATTTTACTGCACCGGTTGCTAGTCTGGCTTTAGGCAAGGATTTCCGGTAGAGGTTTTATATGTTGTAGTCTATTAAATGGAACAACGAGCTAACCACTTACCTTCAGGTCTTGTAAATTCTCTGAACGTGGGCAGTGAAATGACAGTGTGGGAAATTGTATGGACTGGATCCAACACACAGTTGACATCATTTGGTCGACAAGACTTAATGCAACGGATAGTATCTGTCTTTTCAAGTCTGACACTAAGAGAAACAAGAGAGAGAGAGACGTATATATCCTGAAAATGATTTACTTTGTGTTTTGCAATCCGAGGAGCTAAAAACTGTAATTGATATAAGAGTTCACTCTTCACCTCAAAACCTTAGACAAAAGCAGGTCATCAGAACTGCTGGACCACAGTAATTTGGCTTGGCTAAGAGTTGTAGTCAACCCCCCCCTCAAACCCAGTTCTTCAAGGCCAAGCATACACAAACAGGAAGAACTGTAGAGCATGAGATGCCCATGTAAAGCACTTTCCAAACACAAACAGGACCAAAGGATAAGGCCCATCTCCTCAGCTGCGGTACTTCGGCACAGTTTCATTGATTTCACTAGAGTTACACTCTAGTTTACGCAAGCCTTTTTGTATTCTGTTTGATATCAGACAGTCATACAAAGCAGAAACAATTGTTCCCATTCTAGAAATCTGGCGAGAAATATCGGAAGGGCCAACTTTCTTTCAGAATTTTCAGCGCAGCAGGGGCCAGAAAGGCCTTCTCTTCAGCCTTTTTTCATATCCCTCCCCCTCCTTTCCATCTAAACTGAGAAAACAGAGAGGAACAGAAACCGGGGGGAGGAAGAAGTTAACCACATTATTTAAAACCTCAAAGATTGAATTCTGAGTTTGGGGAAATGGTAAGGGTCATTTCTTATTCCATCTCAGCCAGCTGCTCATTCGTCCTTGAAAGTCTATTAAAAGTTAAATGACTTCTTCTCACCCTTGTCCACTAGAGTGAATTTAAAGTCACTTACAGTTCAAGAACTTCACACAATACCCAGTCTGTGTTCAGGAGAGATGAAAGGACTGTGCTGGGACTTACAATGTGACTAAGCCCCACAAATGATCTCAACTTTGACCTGCCCATTTCTTCATATTTCTAAGCAGAAAAAAGAAAAGACTGCAGTATCAGAGAGAGGGAATTAAAAGATTAAAAAGAAGAAAAACTCACTGAGTAAGAGGGAAATAAAAATTGAAGCTTTAATTTGCCAAATATCTCTAGAAACAAACAGTTCTTGCCGTTTTCAAAAAGCGTTACCCAAGTCCACACCTATAAACCATCTTCTTTTCAAATGTTCAAAGGGACTTAATGGCTCTATTAATAATAAATACATCAGTAACTTCTTATTATATGCTACCCACATTTGCTCATCAAAGAAAACAAAACCGAACACGCTGACTTTGTATGAAGCTAAAAGAAAAGAAAAAACATGAATCGACATTAAGGAAATCATGCTTCGACAGATGTGAACTGGCACAGTACAAGGAAAGGCAATGAAAGCTGGGTTAATTTACACCAGCTGAGTCGAGCTTGTTATTCTCATTCTGTAGTTGACATTTTGAGACTGGGGACGGAGAATGGACATACAGGCCAGGAGAGACCTCATACTTCCCACCTCCACCGCAGTGGGAAGCATTTCGTGGCTTCCTAGACACGTCACAGGGTTCAGAAAAAGGCTTTCTGCTGAAACGCTGGTCATTTTGGAATGAATTAACTCTGGATATATGGGCTTAATAGCCTGACCTAAGATAACAAGTTACACCTGCTTATTTTAAACCCCAGCTTCCAAATGAAGAAAGGATCTCCAGCTAGTTGACTCTCACATGGGCAGTGTAAGGATCAGCTAAATTACACAGTCCAGTTCCAGTATAAAATAGTCTATTTCAAAACATGGAACAAATAGAATTGAAGCAAAATGTACATCAGTCATGTTTGTTTTTCTCTCTCTCTCTTCCTTCCTATTGTGTATAAGGAATTTAACAGGCATTTACATATGTGCACACATACCATACAAACAAACGCTGAATCTTTCCTTACAATCCTGCTGAGCTGGAGTAATAACAGCCAAGTCAGTCTGGTGCTACTTCCAGTAACATGTTTACAGCTTCTGAAACATTTCTTTAAAAGTTTTTCTCTTTGTGTTACACAGCACATAAAGAACAAACTATGGCATCTAAAGATTTCTGTGACACCGCGAAGTAGTGACTTGCATACCTCATTTTGTGATTTTGTTGCTTAGAAAGTACCAACGTAATACATAAAACAGCATCATGAATTTTCAAAACTGTATTTAAATAATAGAATTAGTATGCAAAAACATTCTGGTGGGAATGTCTGAAGCATTAAGTATTGGTCTGCCTTTGCTCCCATTAAAAGGGAAGGGTGCTTTACTCTTGACTTCGGTTGGAGTAGTATTTGACAAATACAAATGTTTCTGAACTTCCCATCCAATAGTGTCATTCATTTGTTAGAGATGAAATTCTAAATATTACTTATATTCATAGTTCTCACCCCTGATTCATTCTGTAAAGCATTCAGTAAAGCATTTTGGCATGAATTAGGTACTCTGCATATAGAAACCGAGGATCACAGCAATCACAAGTGATTTGCTTGTGTCTGTGGCTAACTGTAAGGAGTTTCTAGATCCATCCAGTCTGCAACTGTACATGACAGACTAAGACTTTTGCGTCATTTCCATTTCTCTGTGCTGTTTCTCTTTCCTCTTACATACCCTGCAGCTTTTCTTTTTGCTCTCTCCTCACTGTTAAGCTCAAGTTTGTGCTTTTTCATTTTCCCCCAGCTAAATTTTCATTCTCCGATCTCCTTTCTTTTCGTATCTCTGCTAATTGCACCAGCATATCCAAAACGCAGCTGCTAACAACTTGTTTTCCCACTGCTTAGTCTGCGTATCTTTAGATATCTCTTGGAACAATTTCTCTGACAACTAGTATCTATTTCAACTTCTTAATATTTATTATTAATGATGCACTCTGCTCTGAATGTTCTCTGCTCTCTTTCGATTTTATCCTTACACATCATGTGGGCATTTTATCTTGTGGTTGGCTGATGCATTTCTTATTGCTTACATCCTCCTATAGTGGGCACTGTGACTGACAAAAGTTTCTTTCTATGTGCTGAGAAGTTTCTTTATTCAAATCTTTCCTTGAAGTATGCCCTGTAGCATGAATTGCAGCTCTCCAGCTGGCACCTCCTCTATGCTTTTTTTCATTTAGAAAAAGAACAAAGTTAAGAAACAGCCCCGTTGCTCCGATTATTGTGCAAATAATGCTTTCCTGAATACATTTTTTTTTCTTTCCTCTTGGGATCTAGTGTCACTCCTTTTCATATTCTCTGTCTGATTTAATTAGTATGATCTTTGGACCAGGAGCCCTGATTTCATTTTCATTTGGAAAGATCCATGCACGTAAGTGAAGCTATATAATTAAATGTTTTCAAAAGTTCCAGCTACACTGCAGCATTAAAGTATCTAATACAGTAGAATCTGATCTCTGTGCTCTTAAATTGCTTGCTGAATGCAAGCATGCAATAAAATGATAGTATATGGTAGCACTTTACAATACCGAGGGCCAAATTCTCACACTCCCTTCTTTTCCTGCCAAACAAATATATATTAATGCTTGCAAAGATGAAGTTTATTTTTGAATCTTTACTTAATTACGGCCTCATAATGAACTGGTAGCCAGAGGGCATTTGTATACGAGCATCTTCTGTGGTGGTAAGAAACCCCATTAGCTTGAGTAGCATGGGCTTGTGCTTTCAATATTGAAAGCTGGGACTCTATCCCCACTGGCAACTTCTGGCAGCTTTATAAATATGTGTCAACAGACTCATTAAACACTGGCATTCCTCGCGGGACTTGAACTCCTGTCAGCCAGCTGGGATAAACTTTGCCTTAGGGAACGTGTAATGCTCTGGCAGAGTGCTGAGATCATGTCCCAGTCTAGTCCTTGGCTCACAATGAGCCTAAGAGCCTGCAGCTTGCAGCTAATAGAGTAATTCCTTCTGTTCGGTGATTAAGGCTTGTGATCTTGGTTTAGAAGGTTCCCAGTTTCTAACCTCGTTCGTTGGCTGTGCTGTACTTACGTAGCTAGGGATTTTTTTATATATATACACACATGGATTATTCCTCACTCAGCTATGGATTGACCATTCTGTCTATGTAGGATAGAGATATCTGAGCCCAGGACAGCATCAAAGAGCATTAATTTTTGGATCATACCTCTGGGCCTGAGCTTTTAATATTTGTTAATACAAAGACTGAAGAGTAAAATAAATTCTCTTCCAGCTCATAAGCAACGTATTTTCAAATAAATCCTAGCTGTACTGTTGACACTGCTCTTAGTGTCTGGGAAGTAAAAGAAGTAAGATTTGGCTTTTGAAATTCTGGCTGGCCTTTCTCAGCTCTGATATGGAAGTAAGAGAGAAGAAAATGTTATGAGACCAACTAAGCATCTTTATCAAATGTTCACACATGACAGCTCTCAGGATACAGCCTGTGAAACAGCAAGGAGCTCTCACTACCTGGATGTTGTTTAGGAGCTCATTGCTGTTCTCCCATCATTAGTTGTTCAATTCAGTGAAAAATCCATAGAAAGGAAGATGAAATAGCTCTAAAATAAATGTTCTTTAGAGGAGATTCTCTTTTGCACCACCCTTGAAAGTCAGAATTGGGATTTGTAGCTGGCGTAAATCAGCACAAGCTCATTGGCTACAACAGAGCAATGATAATTATCGCAAGTTGAGAATCCTACTCTACGCTTTCAAGGTGATGTGTGTGTACTTCTGAGGTACTTCTGAAGTTCCAAGGGCCTGTTATGCCCTTTTAATAGATTTTTATTTTCAGAAAATACATAGTAATTGCCCCCCAGCTGATGAAACTCTCTAAAGATGTCTCAGTTTAGACAGCTCAAATTATGTATCTGCCACTGTTTTGAAAATTCAGACCTAAACATATGCAGCTGTGTATCATCAGATGAGACCAACTCCACTGCTGTGTGAAGTGAATTAACAGTTCAGGCCTCTATATATTCAGATAAAAAGCTTTTGGACACCTATTTTGGCTTTCTATAATGATGTACAGCACGCATAAGAATCTTGCCAAATTAAGATGTTCTGTGATGGAGGAAAATGGAGAACTGTAATGATGATGGCAAATAAAATGCAAGTGCAGCATGCAACAGATGATCTAAAACTTTATTAAAACTGGAAAAAAAAAAGCTACTGTCAAAAGAGAAAAGGTAGCCATTGATGCCTGCAAGTTAGGGATCAAAGCTGTGCAGAGACAAAGATAAAAAGTTTGGCAATAAATGTGTTGACAGTTCCATGGCGGAAAAGTTGCATTTGAATGGTCAGAAGAAGGTCTCTGGGCTCTGTGATTTGCTGCTGCATGACCACAATGCCACTGTGGTTGTTCACTTTTTTTGTGGTGAAAAAACCCTCCTGGTTCCCGCTGATGATGGACAGCAGAATTTTATCCCCAGGGACAGCATTGGAAGGGCCCATGCGGAAAATGTCGGTGGGTACTTGAATGTTGGTAGGAAAAGAGAGGTGATAGTAGGTTATTCTCAGAGGCAGGCTCTGGCACTCCTTATTTTCATTACAAGGCAAGCGCTCACAGCGACTGCAAGAAAAGTGAGAACACAAGACAAGAGGAAGATTAGCGTACATTTAGCAAGCGTGATAGGAAAGCAAGGGCAGTGGGGATGGGAAAAGATATGCTGACTTGCATATTGTATCCATTCTTCAGCCTGACAGATCAGTCACATTGCAAACGGACATTTATTAAATAAGGATGAATGTGTTTGTAGTTGTTGCTTTGGGATGAGGGTTGCCATTTTAAGAAGTGTTGCCCTTTCTTTGCATGCACTGATGAATTAAGTCTCACGCCTCACCCTTTGGTGAGACTTTACTAGCATTTAGAATCTTTCTCAGGAGAATATAGGTGTGTTTTTCTATATTTTTAAGTTTTATTCTTTTGTTGACTGGACATATGTTAAATAAAGGGAAAGATCTGAAGTGATTAGAGTGTTGAACATGTCCTATTTGGGATGTCCTCAGAGGGTGAGATTTTAAGACAGCAAAGTATTCTGAAAACCACCATGTACCAGCTGTTGGTCTTTCCAAGAGAGAAGAGGCACTCTAGATACTGCATTGTGTAGGTTCACCGTTTGACAGTGTACAGAAGAATGCAAATCTTATTTCCAACACTGCCTGTATGTTTCGGTTTATTTCCTTTGAAGACAAACCTCCTTTCTCCTCCTGAGGTAGCAGTGTATTTCTATGTGCCACTAGAACCAACTTAAGTCAGTCTAACATATCTAAGCAAGCACTGAAAACAAGGTCCAACAGCCTGACATCTCCAGCACGTGCCCTAGACATTCAGTCCACTCTTATATGGGCTTGAGTCACAGCAATGATGGTGGTGACTGAGAAAGTTACCCTTTGCTAATTGCTGTTTTCTTCCCTTATCACTAGGTGCTGTATTACAGCAACAAATCCAGAGGACTATTAAGAGGTCACCCATATAGACTGAAAACGAACAATGAACTCAGTCCCAATGTCAGCACCAGAAATTATGATCTACATGGAGGGAGCAATCTGCTTCCTGCTGATATATATTAATGTGTCACAGTTACTAAAGAATGCTATCGTTTACCAGCATATTAATCAGTATTAAACATGTCAGGCCAGCTGGTAGGTTTGGGAAGTATTTAGCGATTCACATGAAAGAAAGATGATGTGAATTTCAAATTCAAGACCTGCCCAAATCACCAAATTCAAGCTGGTATCTGAATGTCTTCCCAAACAGGTGCTTGAGTCCTGCATTTTATGCCAGAAGTAGAGCCAGACTTTATGATCAGAGCTGGATGTTGACTTTGCAAAATTTGGGGAAGGTAAGATTGTGCATTTAGCTCCAAACCTGCCTTGTGCACAGCCATGCATCAAATAAATTAGGTACAATATTCTCTCAACTCAAAAGCAGTAGTCAGTCCACAGGTTGAGGCTTTAGAGCCTAAACTATATATTCAGGAACACTACTATTGCAAAAGGTCTTTCTCTACAAAAAAATATTCTAGCATGAGAGCATGGATTGCTTTTTTTTCCTCAAAGCATAATAAGAAATCTTGAGCGCTCATTTCATTTATTTTATTTTGACACATTCAACTGAGCTCCTACCAGAAATACCTGGTATCAACAGAATTGCGGCTCATAAGCAAGCACCACTTCGCTCCTTGACAGTGCATGATGACCTGAATTCCAGAAACTTCTCATTATAGGCAGAACAACCATTTCCAAAAAGAGAAGAAGTAGTTAAAAGAGCCCTCAGTTCTTCAGTTAATTTATGTTTTCTTTTAACACCATTTGCAAGCCAAAATAAAAAGCAATCCTTTGAAGACTTAAATGCATTCTTAATTTTATTCATGTGTGTAAAGAGCATGCACAAGTCTTCACAGGATGGTCATCTAATTCAGTGTGGATACTCTTGAATATTTTTAAGTATAGTGACTTTTGCATTCTTTTCTGAAATGTCATCAATTTTTTTGGTTTCGTTGAAATCATGAGGCTACTTGGTACTGTTGAAATCAGGAAGCAAGTTAAAATTTAATTTCGCGGCTGAAAACGTTTTCTTCACATCAATCTTTTTGGAAGTATTTACATGCTCATAAAGATGCCATGATTTATTCTTTTATAAAAGTAAAATATGCTTTATTTACAGCTAGAATTTAAAAAATTAAAAAATAAAGCTCCCAGCTTCCTAAGATTTGAAAAAGGGCCTTCTGCTGATTCAGAAGGTTGTTTGTGGGGACAGACACAGCTGTGGGTAGGAGTTAGAATTACTCAGAATTGATCATTTTTTATCCTTATTGTTTGATGGTATGCAACACACACTGCACACTCCACTGTAGGTTTAGTTAATGATGTGCACTAATTTTCCCATCAAATAACCACAAAGAAGAGTCAGCAAATATTATTGCTTTCAAGAACTGGAGTTCACTCTGGGGTCATGCACCACAAAGGCAACAAACAATGAGCGTTTAAATCCCAGTGTACTCTCTAGACCTTATTTTAAATGCTTCCCTTCAGTGGGCAGAAGAAAATCATATGGTAGGGGAATTTAACAACCTACTGCTAGTGAACGAGCAGACCGAGACCACGGGTGCTGCTCCAACTCTGTGGTATCTCACTATGGATTAGCTGGCCATACAGCTACTGCGCCCTGCTACCACAAAGTGTCGCTGTGGGAAAGAGCACTAAGGAACCTATTTAAAAAGGGACGCGCTGAGGAGGGAGCAATCTGGTACCAAAGAAATACAACCCACAGTGCAAGTAAAACATACAACACTTTGCAGTGAGGCAGTTCTAAATATGCCTTTGTAATTCCTGCAAACCTCCGCAATTAGGCACATGGGCTTGAAAAATAAGCATATAACACCGCTAAAAACCTATTCCTGTATTAATTCCTGGTTATTTTAGCTCACTGTATCACTTGTTACTCTCGTCTCTTAAATTATTTTACTTGGCTGATTTATGTTACTTGGCTGAATGGTTTTACTCGGCTGAATTCTGCAAAGAATTAGTGTTAGTATGAGTTTTATGTACCAAATATTGGTTACTCATAAAGGAAAATAAAACTACCAAGAACAGAGAAATTTTGTTTTTCAGAATGACTACAACATTTCCAGAGAGGTGAGAAGAAAGTATTTTCTGTCTCTGCTAATTTCTGAGCCAGGTTTTCACTTGGTACAGACACGTTTTATTCAACTGTGCTGAAAAAAGCTGAGTGCTGTATAAGAATTTCTCATGCTCTGACGGGAAGAGAACTTTTTAGCAGGATTTAGAGCTTCGCAACTTCCTTTATACAGGGAAACCACTTCAATATGCTGAATGACAAACCAAATATTACTACTGAACTATATACTACACATCTTTCAAATTCAACTCTTTGCAGGTTTACAGAGCTGTAACCATCTTCTGTATCTCCTAGAATATATTCTACTACAAAGGCACTCACTTATTCCATCATCAGTGTGTATTTCTTTTCAACAGGTTGCACCATGCTTTGGGCCATTAGCTGGGCTGTATCCACATCATGCATCTCTACAATTATGTTAACCGAGCAACTGAGCATGGAAGGTGGTTATTGTCCTAAACAAACCAGATCTTAAAGCGAACGAAACCAACAACTGGTTGATTTTCACAGATGTTTCTTAACCACATAAGAACAGTTGGGATGTGAAGTTTCTCTTCAGGCTCAGGCAGGAATGTAATATATAGTAATATAGGAGACAGGATGGACAAATCCTCTGCATGTTCCTCCTGTCTACAGCTGGTAAGTCTTAAATAGTTTTAAGCTGTAGAAGGCACAGACCCATATCCATTTCGCCCTCACCACCAAGCCTTTATGTCCTGTCCTTGTCTCACTCAACTGTCTTTCCCAACCTGGCTGCTTCTCCCCAGCCCCTTTCCTTGCCTACTCTCCCTTCCTGATCACTCAAATATCTGGTGTCAGGACTTTCTGCTCAGTCAGTGCCAATCCTCCTTGCTCCGTGCTCTCCTGGTTGTCACTTAGTTCTCTCAATTCCCAGCTCACAGTGCTAGTCCCTAAACACACTCCTCTTTCCCTCAGTATCTTTGTGCAACCATTCCAAATTATCTTTTGCTCTATCTGTCTTCATCTAGACCTGGGATCAAACCCTTAACCAGTAAGGTTAACCCGTAACCCTTTCTACTACCATATCCTACATTGTTTTCCAGTGTTGGTTCCTGCTTTGTACCTGAATTGTTTCACCCAGTTTTACTTTCCACCATTCAAGCATCTCCCAGATTATTTCTCCTCACCCGGTCACAGTTTCAGAGCCTACCCTCTCTACATTCAGCCTCCTTATCCCTACACACTCCTTTCCTTCCTACAGAATTGGCTTTTCTCTTACGTCTGTTAGAAACTGTTTTCTTACCCATGGAGTTTGGGTGGTCTCTGAAAGCATGGAAGAAACAGGCTCTGGGGCTGTCAGGTCTGGCAGTGCCTGGCCCAGAACAGACAGAAGCCCTATTCCTGTGGCTGTATGTGGGACCGGGCTCAGATAGTCTGTGGAGTCAGCATATGCAGACTGCCTTAAGAGCTGCAAAAAGTTCAAGCCTGCTAAGTCAGAAGAGAACTGTTTGCTGCTAAAAAATAAAGATGTCTGTACGGATAAGAGCAATTAAATTGAACTGAAGAGGACAGTCAAACACAAAGACAGATCGCCACTGAGACTATGAAATCCTTATCATTGAAGGACTTGAAGAAAGAGTTACAAATACTCTGCGTAGAACTGATCCTATTCTGGGGCAAAGGGGAGGATTAAGATTACCCTTCCAGGTCCTCATTTTCTCAGGTTTATGAAAAAAGGCCAACTGTAATATTAGAAAGTTCATAACTTCAACAGTTTTAGAGGTTTTGATAAGGATGACTAAAAGTGCAAAAATCACCTCCTTACAAATTTCAAATCTCTGCTCCAAAAAAAGGTGGCAAACTGTTCAAAGAAAAAAATCACCAAAATGCTTTAAACACATGAAACAATGTGTTCCTCTCTACCCTCCTTCTTGGGAATAAGTGAACAGTTTTGGCTGAAATTTTCCAAAACTTGAGCGTGAGTCAGACACTCGGCATGTAAAATTTTAGCCCTTGGTTAAGTTTTGGCAAAATTCTTAGCAGTTAAAAACAGATTCTAATAATAAGAAGTGACGAGCAACCTTAATAATGAGCAGACATGTCTAGAATATAAGAATATTTCCCATTCTGGCTCAATGCAGCATACATTTCTGACACACTGCCATAACCACTTCTTTATCTTTTCTACTGTTTTTCTTGGCCTAAATATTATAAATGTTTGACTTAAGTGTCACATAAAGAGAACCTAATTGTTATGCAATTTGAAAACAAAAAGCATTTGGCAAGGGGAGTACAGCAAGTTAAGTCCTATTGTGAGTAGCAGTAAATCTTAATTATCCTTGGAAAATCACCAAGCCTATAGGCTGCTCAAGAAAAAAAAATCATGCAGAATTTAAGTAAAAGAGATAAGACCTTTAATAAAATTGTTACCATTAAGGACCAGACTGCGCCAGGCACTTTGCTGGATATTTGGGGAAGGTTACGTACTGTGTTTCTTCATGAAGCTTGGGATGTTTTTACAGCATTCTGAACTTTCAACCTACACCATTTGATGACATTGTGATTACTTCACTTAACAACAGTCAGCATTGGAACAGCCACCAGGTGAAAAACAAGAAAGAACAAACTTGTATGTGAAGGGCTGAGGCCTATTAAATTATAGCTGTTCTGAAGAACATACTGGGGAATAGAGTAAGAAGTCCTGCGAAGTGCCAACTTGATGGGAATGGAAAATGTTTTGTCTTTCTTATGACGTGCCAAGCTGGTAAACCTGGAACGTGTTTTGAATAAAAAAGAGACGAAACTGGTATCTCTAATAGATAATATGTTAAGAGAAGCCAAGGATTTTGATTTTAGAATTTTGGCACAAAGTTAAGTGAAAAAGTAATTTAATGTCACTATTATGCAAATGCTAATGAAGATATGCTACCTATCAGCCCGCAGTACCCTATGTTGGGTTATATATGCCAAAGATAAATGATTCAAGAATATGTACATTAGTGTGAACGTAGAAAGGGTGCAAAAAGGGTGTTCCCCAAGGGACACAAAGTACCACTACACACGCCCTTCATCCCGTTTCTCAGATGCCGACAAGATACTCTCATACTGGCCGAGTATGAGACTACCTATCTCCCCATTGAAGTAACATGGATTTTTGCAATAAGGGTAATGGACTCACATTCTGTTTGCTTTATGCGAACATATTGCTATCATAAATTTAGTAATTGTTTCTGTGGATGTTGAGAGTAGCAAACCTAATAAATCCAACCAGATAATAACTCAAAGAAATAAAATGACCAGAACTCCACTAAGCAGTTGCAGAATTTTTGTCTGACTCATGGCTTAATTACAGCCCTAGCACATCAGAGGAGTCTCTCTCTATGAGTCTGAGCTAGGCAGAGTGAGTGATCACAGGGTCCCAAAAACCCAAACTTAGAAAAACAGCTCAGACATTCTACTACTTCCAAAAAGAATCCCTTAAAACTCAAATAGCCATTAATTTTAACACATGCATAAAAATATAGAGAAAAAAAGAAGATGAATTCAGGAAAAATAAGACAATTAAGAGGGTAACAACTATTTTTGGGAAGGAAAAGATAACTGAAAAAGCCTACAAGAGAAACAGAATGTGATATATTTTTTATAAACTCTGCAACTCAGCAATGTTCATAAAAGTAAAAAGTCACTAATTCTCCTCAGCGGCCCATTGCAAATGATGGGTTTTTTTTTAAATGAGGATACAAATGAATAAACAGTATTACAAGTAAAGAGAACATCTGCCTCATAAGGTACTTTTTGCTTATTGATTTGACAAATACTACTTAAATGTTAATTACTGCTGACACTTCGAAAAATATGAGTATATACTATATATATATATACTTTAATGCTTTGAACTCTGAACTCCCTCTGCAGCATTCTGGTCAAATACACCTGCCATGCCACTTATATGGCATTTTACAGCTTAAGATTTAAATGCAAATTGACCCCACAAGGACCCACTGAGGAAGAACAGCATTAGCTTCATTCTACAGAGGAGGTACAGAGTACTCAATTTATCTCAGCAATGATGGGCATAAGAGCATTGACTGTGGAGAGCAATAGCAGGTTGGTGACCAGTGATTTGTTATCTTTTCTCCCTAGCTTGTATGGGAGAAAAGTGTGTATGGGGCACATGGGGAGACTGTGGAGCAGCCTTCAGCAGAACTGCTGGAGTAGGAGGCTACCACAAAGCCGTGGGGCAGGAGGAAAAGCAGTCAACTGCATCAGCCATACATAAGCTCTAGCCATACTACTGAAATTTTGCAAGGACTGCACCACGTTGCTAGCACCATTGGACAGGTGTAAATGATCTGCCTCTCCTTCCATACCTATGCCTCATGTTTTCAACATACAAATGCATAGCATTCTCTGTTCTTGGTTAAAAGACACAAATAGAGGCAGCAACTAACATACTACCCTTGCTAGAGCAACACCAGCCTTGTTAACAGCACTGATAAGGAAATGGCATACAAAATAAGACATTTTTGCAATGCTTTGCAACAGCACTGATAAGACTTTAGAGAAGGAGCTAAAAACAAAATGACTTTTCACTAGAGTGTAATAGCCAGCAAAGACTGAGTGTGAAGGGAAAGAAAAGTCAGAATTTTGAAGCTGAATGTAACCCCCCTAAACGGTTGACTGCAGGGTAGCTAGACAGAGAACATCATGTTATGCCTCTAGAAACCATTGCAATGCAAAGCACTGACACACATCAGCTGTGTTGTCTGTCAGCTTGATGTTATTTTTTAAGGAATTATCTTTTTTTAGATTGAAACAGGAGCGTAAGAAAGGGACCAGACCTGTGTGTGCAAAACACAGGGTAGGCCTCCCAACAAAGTGTATAGTCAGTCAGCAGTGGTGTGACATAGTGTCACAGCACGGTGTGATCACGTCACCACATAACTATTCTACCTTGGAAAAGAAAGCACTTACGTATCTCCTGATTTGCGGTAATTTTCTGGACACTCCAAAGACAAACAGCGAAAGCCCCCCTGGATGTTAAAGCAGGTCTCATTGTATGAACAGTTGTGGGTTTCTGCAACACACTCATCAATATCTGCCAAATGGAAAAGATGAGTGAATTAAACACATGCACATTCCTCCACTTGCAGGTGCCAGGTGATGAAGGTATCATACTAGGTACTACACAATATGGGGAGCAATGAAATTCTATTATAAGATGCAGAGAGCAGGAGGAAAAAAAAAAAAAACAGAAGAAAACTAAGCCAACAAGAAGGCTAGCAAGGTAAGAACAGGAAAAGGAAGAGCAGCAGTGCTACTAAGTGGATGAGACCTAAATATCTGCTGAAATGTCTATAGCGTGATAATATTACCTTTTAATATTTAAATTAATATGTAGCATTTCACAGCAGGAATCTTCATCTTCACTGAGTTCATTAGAATTCATTAGAATTAGAATTTAAAAATGTTATATAGAGTATTCTTTGTTGCATTCTAAAAGTTATAAAATAATTTTATACAGAATCCTGTTTATTTATTATAGAACATCATTTTGATTTATAGCTAATTTTTACTTCTTTACCTTTAATGCTGAAAAAAAGACACATTTTAAAACATAAAATCTAGTTAGAACTTTTCGAAAGTCTACAGTCTAGTTAAGTGTCCCCGCAGCTATCAAACTTACCTTGGCAGTTACGCGCATTGGGTGCCAACTTGTAACCAGTGGAAGGACAAGTACATTGAAAGCTTCCAGGAATATTAATACATCGAAAGGAACAGATATGCCCCCCAGTAGGTAAAGCACATTCATCAATATCTGCAAAAAGAAAACATCACTGATTACTATGTGTTCATGAAGTTCAACCAAGGTAACAGCTACAGTTCCCCCTGTGAGGTTCAAACACAACTTGGGGATACTAACAGCTGAGCAAGGAAAAAGATCATCAGATAGAGGTGACTCTAGTCTAAAGGGTGTCAGGAGTAAATGGAGGAGTGAGGAAAATTGAAAGCAATGCAAAGTGCCAGAAGACAAAGTTTGATTTTGTTTTATAAATGGACAAACACTTTACAGTGGCACATACCCTAATAATTTGCAAAGGGAAGGTAGAGGAATCCTGCTTTTAAAACAAGGAAATTGAAAGGAGATGTTTTGTCCCAGGAGAGATATTAAGTCCCGGAGACCTTAGTCCAAATTCAACATCTTGTCTGGTAGGTCACACCCACATCCTCCTGGCATTTAAGCAAAGCTTATTACGTACTAGTTTAGCACCAGCTACAAAAAGAGGCTATGTAAAATACTACCTAGTAACACTATATGTTACACATGTAATAAAAAGTTTGTATCTTCACTTGCTGAGGACATGAAGGCCTGTTACTTCCTCAGAAAAACACCTCTGATAAGTTACAAAAGTGCACCAAGCTACAGTTCAGTGTAAACAGCCCAAGTGACATCATGCAAGCAGAGATATTTCTAGAAACAGGACTCAGATGTGAGGCTTTCATGAAGTACAGTTTCATAGCTCCACAGAAAAGTATCAAAGAGGATCAAACGTAACAATTAAAGTATGGTGTGAATAAGAAATGCTCATTCATCTCCTGTCTGAAAAGGAGGCATCCTTCTTACCTTCGCATGAAATCCCGTCAATGTCACTAAGTTGAAAGCCACGGCGGCAGTAACACTGATAGGAGCCATACACGTTGGCACACTCTTGACTACAAGGGCTGCTCTCACACTCATTTAAATCTGAAATGCAAAATTATGTATCTGAAATGCAATATTCATCACTCCTGAGGTCTCCTATGTGACTCAGTCTTACAGGCCTGAGGCAAAAGTTTAGAAAATAATGTTTTTAATGAAGAGAAAGATGGTATACGTGTCACTGTGTAAGATGGAAATAAGGGCCCTTGGGTGTATTACTCTCAACAGGGGCTGGCATTGTAGGTTAATCTACAAATGTGCTATTATTTCTCACCATTCTTCAAGGCGTAGTGCGACTTAGAGCAAGTCGTTAGGACCACACTTGTATTTCTGTATCTGGATATCAGCAAGGCTGGTCTTGAAGGTCTTGAATCTGATCTAGTCAAATCACCCTTCAAAACGCAGTAAACCTCTATGCAGTCCAGCCAAAGAAGGCCCATAAAGTGGCAGTGTGGGCCCCAACAGCACTGATTAATCATAAGAGCATTCATGTAATCAAATAGACCACACTAGGTCAATTTCTTAGGCCATTCCAGTGTAGTCTTAGGAGCAAAAAACACGGGAGGAGCAAAGCCGGGATCAGCTGTATCTTACATTATGTGGCCTGTGCATATGACACCCTCACCTTCACATGACCTGCCGTCAGCTGAAAGCTTGAATCCCATGGTACAAGTGCAGTAATAAGAACCAGGAGTATTCTCACACTTGTGAGCACAAAGTCGGCCTGGATAGCGTCTGCATTCATTGATATCTGCAAGGATAAATATATACAAAGATCTATGTACTGGCTGCCTTCCCTGCAGTAGTATTCCCGAAAAGAATGTAGTCATAGAAGTTTGATTTGTATTTTCCAGATCTAAATACTTGAGAAGGAAGGACTTGCTCAAAATGCTCATTTAGAAGCATCCCAGGGAATAATTGAATTAGACATATACAGAAGACAGTTGCTTTGAACTTTCAAAGGAATGTTTTGCTGCAGGTGCATATAAAAGTATCACAGAAAACAATTACATGCTGCCTCACAATCTTACCTTTTAACAGGATAACAGACAACATGTTGACAATACTATTACAGCTTCCTTTGAAGCATCAGCATCTCTTTAATATGGTATTAGATTCATATAAATCCTATAGTAGTTGGTTTTAAATTCAGATGAAAGAGGTTATGCAGGGAGCAATAACATTCTTTACATAGGATCATTTTTTAAAATGCCATGGCTGCAGGTACTTCAAGTCAATAGGTGCAACTCACCAATACAAGTTCTACTGATGACATCAAAAGAATAGCCAGCTTTGCACTCACAGCGGTAATTGCCTGGGGCATTTATACAAACGTGCCCTTCTCCACATGGCTGATTAGAGGATGAGCACTCATCCACATCTGAAAAGAGAGAGAGGTGATTGAAAGTACACTTATGAGCATGCAAGCTGAGAGAAAAGCAACATGCAAACTCTTAGCTCAGCTGTATTTTTTTTGTGCCCCTTCTATCTGTGAAATAAAAATATAAGTTCTAATCGTCTGACAAGTGTGTCATGGATTTCCTTCAGCAGTAGCTGTGAAGTGTTTTGAAACAGAGAGCAAGACTTTGATCTAGCTCCCTGCTTCAATAAGAAGGTCAGAATCACACGTCCAAACTTATTATTGAAACAGGTATTTCTTTGATGTCCTGTTAATGTTGATGGACTTGGGAGGGAAAAGAAGTCAGAAAGTCAGACAATCTTTGGAGGAAATCAGGTACAAAATAATTTTATTTTGCACACAATATTAATGGAACAGATCTTTAGCTAGTGTAAGATGTTGAAGGCACGCAGTCAGTAGAGTTGTGATAATTATAGCAAATACAAAACTGACCAAAGCTATTTAAAGAAACCCTGCAAATACATGCAGAAATACCTCTCTTTGCAAAAGCTGCCTTAGTTGAAGGCCAAGGCATATATGCCTTTCAACTTTACTTGAATGGCTTATGTGAGGCATAAATGGCAGGTGGGCTTTGTGCTGGACCTCTGTACTGGGGAGATTTTAAACCACACAGCATTGTTCCAATATAGTAATATAATCACATATAATGCTGTTTTGGGGGGCGATTATCAGTTCTGCTCTTATCAGGATATACGGTTTTGTGAATTATTTGAAGAACAGAGAAGTGACCCTTGTCATTCTTTACTTGCTGGGACCAGTACGAAGGAAAGAACAGGATCAAGACTTGATGAAACTGAGGAATGAGAAAAACTTGGGCAAAGTGCAAGAACTCATTGCGATAAACAATAGTTGTGATTCATTTTCATTTACCTTTTCTTTCCTCATAAGTATTACTTACCTACGCATCTTGTTCCGTCTTCATTGAGATGATAACCTCGGCCACAGCTGGGGGAGACCCTCTGGCAGGTGTATGAGCCATCAGTGTTAATACATATCTGCCCAGCTGGGCATGGCATGTTGTTGCTCAGGCATTCGTTGATATCTACAAGAGCACAAACAATTCAGTTTGACTATCCACTGTCCGCAGAGGCTTAAGGTGAGATGCTCTCCTTGCATCCTTCAGTGTTTGGAAAACTGAACCCATGGGGAGAACACAAACATTTGTGTCGTTAGCTTCATCAATATTATGCTTCCAAGGGGAAGATCTGCTGATGAATGAAAGGCCAGATCCCACTGAAAAGTAGTGGAAATTGGGTAAGGAATTTATATTTTTGTCTAAAAGCCTTTGAAAGTCTCCCCTAAATGTACAAAGAGGTGACCAAGAATTTAGTTTATCATCTTAATCAGTTACGCTGAAGTCCATAGGTTGTGGATCACAGTGAATGAGCTATTCCTTAGCAAGTGCTTGTAGATATAGTAGGTAACTCCATTTTCACAGACAGACAAACTACTGCTCACAAGTATTCTCCATGAATACCTTACCTTATCTCATGACATGTAAACATATGTTATCTCATGTAAACATATAAGAAAGAGAATATTTATGTGTTCACAAATTATACATCTCTCTACCATCTATGAAAATGGATCTCTGTTTTTCACAAACTGGACATTATATATCACATTGTGACACCTATATCCTTTGCCTGGAAAGAATATATTAAAAAGTTAAACCCCAGAAAAAGTAATGAGATGTGACTAAACTATCTTTGAGTATGATCTGGTGCAGTACAATCAGCCAAGAAGGCAAAGACCTCACTACTATTCACAGCCAGCACATGTAGATCAGTTTGGGGAAAAAGTTTTCCTTCAGCAGCTACAGGAGGTACTGACAGAGCCTCCACTAGCTGGAAATGTTAAAGTAACTAAGATCCGATAGTTTGTAGGGATAGCATTGTTTGCACGTGTTATCAGCCTGCATCCCATAATCTTCAGCAAAGTCCAGCCTCACCAGAGTACTTCTCTGCCTAAAATTCTCCTCACCATTTCACTGGGACTCCACCATTTTACACAGTAATACTATTTACTGTTGAAGAAGTACCACTTTCTGGCTGGTATGGCATTAAGCAAAGTATCCAGCTTACAAAATGATGGATATCTGAAGGCAGGGAAGGGGACACAGAATACCGTCAAACCTTTAGCCAGGCCCAGCCCAACTCCCTATAAAGTGTAAAATTTTCAATTCATGAAGTCACTGGACAGACAGGAAAGTTTTCACACTCTCCCCCTCAACGCCACATCCAGCAGCATTTGATTCATACTTTGTAAAATCGGCCAATTACATTGTTTTGGTAATTATTTTGAGCAAAGGCACTTTAGGGGCCATAACTGCTGCTGCTGCTGCAAATCGGTGTTGCTTCACGAATGTCAGTGCAGACACACTGATTTGTGACAGCTGTAGACGTGGCCCTAGCTATGTCAGAAGCAAGTCTTCAGAGAGTTTGTTGTGCACAAGCACTAAGCTCCCTTCACTTTATAGAATGCCATTTTGTTTTCTGTCCCAGTGTTTCCAGTGTCAGATTTCAGCAATACAGGGTATGATACGGTCAGGAGAATGAGAGGCTGACATTATGCCAGAATTAGCAGCTTCTGCTGCTCAGCCAGTTCTGCAAGTCTGAAACAGGCTATGCCGCCAGGGAAACTGAAAGTTAACTTGAGACTTGAAACTACTGCTCAAGGGAATAACTGATAGATTTGTAGATCACATTAGACAATTCCATTCAGAGTCTGCTGAAAACAGTAATTCTAACATATTTATATAAAGGTTTTAATTCTGTTTTGTAGGAGCCTCACAATAACTTGACAAGTCTTGGAAACAAGGCATTAACTCAAGAGATTCTAATCAGTCTTTATCATAAAACTCCTCTCCTCAGTGTATTATAATTGGCCTACCATTCTCATACACAGTAAGATTCTTCATAAACTATAACTAAAGGGAATGGGTTCAGAAAGACCTGCATATCTGTACAATCACTGCATACAATTATCAGCAAATTGTGCTATGGAGGGTATCATAAATTACAGCTTTCTATACTAAATTTTAGCTAACCCATTCAGATAGAAGGAGAGGAAACCTATCACTGTTTTTTTTAACAAATTCTGTTTCAGAAGTATATGACAAAGCACAAGACAAAATCCCTAAAGACTTAAGGAAAATGTTCAAACACTACTAAGTGCCTTAGGTGCCCAAACCTCATTAAAAATAGAGATCTAGTTATTAAGTATAAATGTCATTCTTCTGCTAAGTCTTACATGTGGGACCAACCCCGTCTTTAAGGGAGTAGAAAAAAGATATAGCAGGACAATGTATGCAAGCATAAAGAATGACTTGAGAAGTTCAGAACTTGTCCACTGAAACTGTAACTTATTTCACAGACAACACAGTATGCACTGAGATAAGAGTATGTCTTACCAATACAGTTGCCTAGCGCATCTTGTATAAACCCATTCATGCACTGTAGCTTGGGTCGGCAACGGAAAGATCCTGGAGTATTCTGACAGATAAAATCGGGGGGGCAGTTATGAGTACCAGTCTCACATTCGTCAATATCTGGTACATCACAAAAAAAAATTGTTAGCAGGAGTCTGACAGAAGCTTTTTCATCACATTTAAAACGTAAGACACAGTTAAAAATATCAGACAGATTAATCTTTAGTCTACCTTCATGCAATTCAGTGCAGCAAACTGAAACAAATCAATCTGACCTACGCCTCAAAGAGAATCTCAGTAAAAACAGGCAAAATATGTTTTCTTTATTGTTCTTTATTAATATTATAATGTATGTGTTTGTGCATTTATAATATGATTACATATTTAGTTCTCACAATTAAAAGATTCAAAATGACTATAGCGCACCTGAAGCGCCATGTTCAGCAGCGTGCTTATACATGGGCTCAGCTTTGAAGTCAATAAGGCTCAACTCTATGCCCAAGTGCATTTTGTAATTTTGACCTTATATTCTGGAGGCATTGTTCATTTCTTTTGTAAGTGAATTAATTGGCCTGGATTCTCATTCATATTAAGGCCTCCTTGCATTACTCTGCTTTATAACATACAGAAATATGATTTCTGCGCACTTTAATATTCCTCTCCAGTTCAGTATGGACAATAAATATTTGCGAGTAAACTATCATTCAGACTAAGCAGATAATGGCTAAACAAAGTTCCATCCAGGAATGTAACCCTGTCATACATAAAAACTAAAATTTGGTGTTTGCCACCTTTTAATATAATGGGATGACATATCCCAAAGCTATTAAAATGCAGAAACTTTCTAGCAATAGGATGCCTCAGCTTTCCCATCTATGAGATGAAGATAACAGTAGTTACAAATGCTTATCTGCAGAGCTTTGAGAGAACAAAATAATGATTCTGAAGCCCTTTTAAAGTTTAGGATGAGTTAATACTGAACTGGATTAAAAATAGTAGCATTCTATATGTTCAATTCACTAACAAGTATTTTCTATGTCATTTTACAGAGCATTCAGAAAACCTATATGAGGATTATGCATTTCTACTTTCTTCATTATTAACATATCATTAATAATTAACAGCATTAATATATCTTATCCAGATAAGAAATTTCTAGCATTAATGACATGCATAATTTAATGGCTACACTCCCTTTTTTCCACCACAGAAAGATTGTTAATACTTGCTGGTAAGCCATTTGTTGGCTTTAAACTGATGTCATTCAAATCAGCAGAAGTTTTACTTCAAAAAGATCAAAGTTAGACCATAATACATCAGTATTTGAAAAACATAATTTGTATGTTCTATGGGTTTGTTTCAGAGTTCGTTGCAGGAGAACGGGGAGTTCCAATCTATAATACATCTCTAATCAGTTCCTACAATAAAAACTTAAGCAGAATTTCAGCTGAATTCATTCACTCAGTTAGTGAAATTACAGTGGATCAAGTCTGTTTAAAGACAATTCTAAGCTCTAGGGGACAGACTTTTTTTGTAGTGGAAATCAGTTCCACATCAAATGGGCTTTACTGCTAATTTATATCTGTGCAAAGGTAGCATGCTGAGTGGAGCTACAGATACACATAATAGCATACTTTGAGCTAGATGAGACTTGAAATCAGTCATTCCTTTAGTTAAAAAAAAAGGCTATTACCCTTGTTTTCAAACATAACTGGTCAAGAAAAGTGTTTTTTTAACCCTTTTCATTTTTAAATCCTCATGAATGTTGTGATTAAAAAGCAAATCCCTTTGTAATAAATGTAAACTTCTTGAGGATAAAGACTTAAAAAATCAGATTAAAAAAGATTTTAAAATGCATCTGCAATAGCATTTACAAATTAAATCACCTGGTCACTCCACTTACCACACTTTGGTCCACACTCAGAAGTGTGCAAACTAGATTCCTTCAGATGAAACTAAACCATTAGAAATACTCCAGCAGCACAACTTAGGCACTGCAGTCACTAATGAGCAATCAATTCACAGGACCAGACTAGAGCTGGCCAGGAGTAAACACCAAAAAACCCCATATAGTGTGGGTGTTGGGTCTTCAGCTGCTTCAGTCTTCAGACCAACACAACACAACTTGCCAAAGTAAAATAACTGTAGTTATCTCTCCTGGAAATCTCAGGAGCAGTCCACACACAGCCTGATCTGGTATCTGCAAGGTGACAGGTTGAAAACTACTATCCCAGAAGAACTAGCACTGTCTGTGTGTCCCCATGTAAGTATAAATTACATATGTATTTCCCAAAATGTAAAAGCATAGGACACTATGACGTACTTACTCTTTTATATATGCATGGAAAGCTAGTTTGTCTGCCCAGGACGTACCTTTGCAACGACTGTCATCAGTTAGCTCATAACCAGTTCCACAGCTCGTGTCACGTTGACAGCGAAAGGATCCTAATGTATTGACACAAGTTTGTCCAATCCCACAGCTGTGTGCCCCAGTGATACATTCATTAATATCTAGGGGGAAAAATGGAGAAAAAAAAAAAAAGAGACTAACCATGAAACACTGGGAAGTGATGAGGTTAAAAGCTAGGCTGCAGGCACACCTTCAGCCAGTCATTATTTTGAGCATCTGGACATAAAGAACGGTATGGATTTCATCTCACACGTATGCACGCAAGGCATGGTTGGTTACTCATTTCTGTTCTCAGCATTGGCCAATAAGGATATTTTGACCCCACTGGTAACAACACTTAAGAATGCTGATGCCCTGAACCTTACTAAAGAACAGAGGGAAGTTGTATGGAGTTGTATGGAAAGCAAAGGTCCAATACCTAAAAACCTCTGACTGGGTCCAGTAGCAGATGATTAGAGTGTTTATATGAATGAGGCAAACTTTCAGGAATCCTTCCCCCTCACATATGTCTTAAGGATTCTCTGAACCACAGGTTGCAACTTTCTGCTTTCTAGCTACTGATAGATGTTCATTTCATAAATTTTTTCATTTTATTTTTGAATTCATCAAAATATTTGGTATCTACAATATCGTAAGGCAGTGAGTTTTAGTTTAATTCTGTGTCACATAAAAAAGTTCTTCCTTTTTTTGTTTCACGTTTGGTTAGCGGCAATCTGACCAACCATCAATATCTATTTTCTATTTTGAACTTTTCAACCAGAACTACTTATCTAGACTCCCTTTTCAGTCAATGAGAGAAAGAGGCACTCCTAAGGAGTAATGCTTCTCATCCTTGATTTGCACTGAAAATAAGTGAGATGAACTGTGCCCTGGAAGTGCCTATTTCTCTCAATTAGTAACAGAAGGAGCCCAGGCTGACTAGCTCAGATGCAGATGCCCACATTATGCATGCCTAAAGTTAAGACTGATGTGCCCTATCCCTGCACTTCATGGCTCTTGTTCCCCTTTGGCTCTTGTTCCCCTTTGGCTCTTGTTCTAGGAGAAACTGAACAATTCTTCCCTCTTGACTATTTCCATGCTGCTCATGATATCCAAGACTTTCATCCTAGCTGTCAGTTGTTTCCTTACCAAGTTGAAGAACACTACTGTACTCCATCTTTCTTACCAATCTACTACTATAAAATAAAACAGGTATTTTATTGTTTTTACTCACAACAATAAAACTCAAGATCTCCTGCCTCTTCACTCTAAGTCCTCCAACTGTTCTACTGATCTACATTCTTTTAGCTCCACTTTCCCATTACTGTCATTCTAACACTGCTTAAATGAACTTTTAATGGTCTCACCTCCCCCTCCCCCAGCAACATAAGCATATTCTATAAGCATATCTTTTCTAATCTATCCTTGCTCTTTTAAAATAAAGATGCTGACAAGGCAGTGATTTTATTTCTTTTACCTTCACAGTTGACACCATCTGGTTGAAGCTGATAGCCAACAAAGCAGGAGCAGACATAACTGGATCCTGTGTCTCTGCACTGCTGAGAGCAGGGACCACCACCTAGTTGGGTGTTTTCAGAAGTGTTATATGATTAAGAGGCTCCTCACAGAAACTGAAATAAACCAATGATGATTCACAGAACGCTAGAGAATTTATTAAGAAAAGCAAACACAAACACACACACACACAGAGGCACACATACATATACAAAAGAAGGCTGAAAGAACTGAAAGAAGTATCCAGCAGGCAGGAAATATGAAAGGGAGAGGAAGGTATTGTGGGTGATGAAGGGGCTAGAGAATACAAAGGAATCAAGACTTCCTGCTGGGATGCTAAGGATGTAGCAATGTGTCTGCAGGGGTCAAAAAGGACATGGCAGAGAGCTGGGATTATTTTGGCAGAAAGAAAGGAAGGATGTTAGATGAATTTTACACAAAATTAGGCTCTTGATGAAGGAAGCTTAGCTTCCTTTTACTTTCTTCTGATCAAAAATAAACTGATATTAAAAATGTTTAATAATCTCACAATACAGAAAGGGTTATATACTTCTAACTATTTGTTATAAGAATATTGATATTCTTAGTAGAAATAGAATATTGATCTCTATCTTCCTTTTGTTCAGGAGAATGGCTGGCTAGACATAATCAAAAGACTTGAGGCAAGCACTGTTAGTGTGGGCAGATGCAGCTATGAAACCTAAAATTGATCAGCGAAAGAAAATAATTTTTAAAAATGGAACAATTTCTAATGAGGACAGGGCCATAAATGCACCACAGAAAATCAGGTCTTGGGGCAAATGTTGTGTCCGTCCATGAGAAGAAACCATTGCCTTGTGGTTGGGACAGACAGCTATCACCTTCTGAGCCTCTGTTAATAATGCAAACTACTGTCAACCATAGCAAAGCCCATTGTGGAGGCTGTTTTGGAAGAACAGCAGAAATCATTTCCTCATGCGCCATGGAAGTACTCCCTAAATGTTGGAAGTTCCACTGCCTAGGAAGTTTAAGCTTCCTCTAGTGAAGACTGGAAACTCACAAGTAATTTTAGCATGCAGAGATTATCAGAAAATGTATTGCAGACAGAAACTCTCACTTTGAATTAGTCACACCAATCCATGTTTTGCCAGGAACTGCATAACTGACAAATGCAATGATTGATTACATAAAGAAACAATGCCAGGAAAATATATAAGACGTTTTTTATGTTGTCTCTTGTAATTAGCAGCTGGAGACAGGGAGAAGAGCCAGCATTGGCTTTGACTAGCTAATGACCTAGTAGACATTTCTAACCTCTCGAGTGTAATAGCTATACAACATGCAGCACAGTAAATCATCTCTCAACTGGAATATTAGTCTATTAAATTGATTTTATCCTAAATACATTACTTAGTTCTGAAATGCTTGTAGAAAGTAATAAATCACTACTGTTTATAGACATGTAAATCACATGTGACAAGCAGTAAATCAGACTACTTAGCAGAACACTATCCCAACAACACATTCTTCCCAGGAGGCAGAACAGGCTGACTAATCAGGACATCAGCCACTTTTCTGCCTTTTTCTTCTAGTGGTGCACCTCGAAAGGAAACAAGCCTCATTTCAAATCCAATCACCCTGATCATCCCAAGTTGATAAGAAGAGAATTCACACATTTATATATTAACCTGCATGTTCTGAAGAATCCAGAATACTAGATGGGCCCAATGGATAACACCTCTGAGGTCTTAGCAATTACAGGTTAAATAAAAGTTAAATGTACAGTCTAAGCTTCAGTTGGGTAAGGTGAATTCCATTACGGGAGACAATGTCTTCCTTGTATTTAAGAGTTATTAAGGCAACACATAATGGCCTACTACTTCTCAGAAGGATCTTCATTCTTTTTATTTTTACCCATTGCTGGCCTAGGCAAAAGATTTTGGCTAATATCTAGGTCTAAACTTGATAACTTTTACTGGAGGGAATCACAAAAGAGCTGCCTAATGGGACTAGTCACCTAGCTTACCTCTGCAGCCATCATGCAGATAAGGATCTTCTTGGTCTAGTTCCTCCTTTGAAATTTCAACTAAAAAGAGCAGAGAGAGGCATTAGAGGAGAAAGTACTTTTCCTCTTGCAATGAAAGACTGCTTACTTGGGAAGGGATTCAGATCAGGATTTTGGATAAAACAGGACAAAACTAAAGAACATTATTTACATATTTTACAGGTATTTCATGCTTAAATTTGACATTCAAATGCATGTGCCCGTGGGGCATTTTCCATCTGATTAATTCAATATGAAAGCCACAGCGTGATCATAGATTACATATGGGCTGAAATCGTCAAATGCAGGTTCTTAACGTTAGGCTTTTAACCAGAGCTTAACTCGATTTTCATAAGCCTTGCTGTCGAGACATGCTTGGCTTCCACCGACTTTACATTAGCTTGGGGTACTCACAGTTTTAATGAAAAACAGATTAACCTCAGTTATTTATTTAGACTTCATTCCAAAAAGAACTCCACACCTAATTTCTGGGCATCTTTCAAATGTGCTTCAGATACCTCCACTCAGAGAGTTTTTATCAGCAGTACCTGTGCTCTGTCCATGTGCCTTGAGAGTCCTTTCTCTCCACACTGAGTGCATAAAAGAGTAGAACACACTACCTGAATCCATTACTTGCCCAAAGGACTAGGCAATGTACTTCCCCCCCATCCCCGCCACTTTGAACTCAGAGGAAACGTTAGGTTGGTAGTAAGGCGTGTAAAACAACAATTTCAAAATACTCTGGTTATTGCATAGGCAGCTTAGTCTCATTTCAGTGCTCATCTATAGGCCCATTCAACCAATGGTCACTCACAAGCAAGTGGGTACATCAAGGATGCGCAGACAAGTTTGGGAACAATGGTACAATGTTCATTTGGTACACTGACAGCCTCAAGCCACAAGGGTATGCTTTGGTCATATTGAAAATGGTTTGCCCAAGTCCAGTCTGATTTTGTAGAACACTCTGGGGACACAGTATGAGAGGTTCCTCTTTACTTAACTAAGAAAGCATCATACAGGGAGTCAGTCTGCCTTATCCAGTACAGCTGGATAAGGCAGACTGACTTACATGCCTCGCATGCCTTACTATAGTGCAACAAACATGAGGTGCTAGCCTAAGAAGACGCCTTACAAAATAGAGACTGATGGTGACTTGGTGTCTACTCACATTGCTTGCTCTGCCTTTCTACGGGTAATTTGTACTGCTGATGGACCTATTTGATGATGCATGTTCAACCACCTGATTATTTCTTAGCTTAATGATGAGAATGTTGTCCTGACTGGCTTGCTGACTTAGAACCCATCTTTGTATTAATGTTATTATCTGTGCCACTTATCCACAGAGGTAAATGGGGAAATATTGTACACTGTGCTCACAAATCTGGATTTTCATCTATTGATATACTTCTCATGTCATCCAGATACCTTGAGTCTGCAGACTCTTGGCATTAACATCCTGCTCTAGTCGCACGGTATCTATCGCTACAGTCATTTCAGGCAGAGCAAACTGAAAAGGGGAATTCCCCTGCAGAGACAGGGGTACAGGAAGAATTTGGTAGGGGATTTCTAAATGTTATTTTTTAGGGGTGTACACTAATATAAACCAGGCTTCAAAGCCCTGAAATGAATCTGCTACGCCTTGGCTCAAGCAAACCAACATGAGGTGTTTGGGTTTGAGTTTAAGTAGTTGATTAGGACGATGTCTCTCAAATTTGTCACTGGTGATTTATGAGCCAGCATACATATTTTCAGAGCTCAGCTGCCCATGTAGGAGGCAATACTCTACAGCACAGCTTTCCTGCAGTTTCAGTTCTGACCACTAAATACTGCAGTACTGAGCACCATGAAAGAGGCACAAACTTTGGGTCTGTAACAGTCAGTGTGTCCCAGGTATGGAGAAGTCCGTCAGGAGTCGCTGCCATCTACATTCCCTTCTCATCTGATAATGTAGAGAGACATGCAGGTACCATGTTTCCCAGACATGTGCAGTTCTCCCAGACAATACTGGCATTTCAAATGCCCTTAGTTTGGCTGCATTTGTCTCTCAAACAAAAGGCAACGTTTGAATTCTGTACAGCTACCAGAGGCCAACTGGTTTTTAAATCCAATTAAAAGAATCAGTTGTTCATGTTATTTCTAATTAAGAACTTATCAGGGGCAAAATGTTACTAAAAACTGACAGCGTATATTCAGTCTCTAACATAAGGATCAATAATGGCCAAAACAAACTGTTGCACAGTTAAATTCTGATACAAGGAACTGAGTGACCAATAACTAGCTCTTTCAGTATCTCATGGTACACAACATTTCAGCCACCACTAGCCTAAAGAATGAGCTCCAATAAACATGCATCGTTACAAGAACGATTGTTTGGAAAATTACTCAAAGAAGATCTCAAGTTAGAGGAGTTGCAACAGAAATCATTTAAAGTACAGGCAGTCCTTGTACTTTGCGTCCTTTTTCTTTTTCTCAGTCTGTTATAATTTGCAATACAAAATACCTTGCTCCTTTTTAGGAGCATCATCACTGATGGACACATCGGTGCCTTCTTGACCCTTCACACAACAAGCTCTGAAGACAATTCCACACTGGTATCCTATCTTCAGATTTGGTTCACAGCTCTGTCCTTGAACTTGAGCAGTCTTTCCCAGCAAACAACAGTAACAACATTTCTGTTAAAAAAAAAAAAAAAAGGTGAAATTCTAGCCCTGAACAAGTAAGTGCAAATGCTGTCTCAGTAGTGTCAATACTGTCAGCGCACCCTGACAAACTAATGGAAAAATTTCTGCAAACTATTTAAGAGCTCCTGGTATAGTTAGGCTGAGACCTTTTAATTTGTAGTTGAGTCCAATGAGTTCTGTACCTGGCCTGCACAGAGAAGATGGAAGCCAAAGCCAGAACCTGGGATCCAGTTCCCACAAATATTGTGTATGTGTGAGTGTGTGTGTGCACACGTGTGCCAGTATGATGATGTGAAAAATCAGAATGTATATGGGACTGGATTCTTCCCTGCCTACATGCCCCAGTTTGAAACACCAACAAACTGTGGGTCTTTGTAACACCTTGACTTCCCTTTTTTGTCCATTTTAGTTAAACTGGGACACTTTCACTGAAGTATATGACCCAGTTTACAATTAAAATGCCTTCTTAACTTCCCAGCAAAAAATATTTCTCTCAAAACTAACAGACAAACAAGCAGACAAACATGATTCATCCAAAGTTACTGTTAGCAGGTCATAAAGAGAAACTACTCTGTTCTGAAAAAACAGACCACATCGTCAAACATTATTTAAAAGCATCACAGTCCTGACATGGCATCCAATGGTGAAACAGGACCCACCTCTTCTAGATCTTCTCAACTACAGCCCAGGAATACACCACTGAAGTGGAAACACAACAAGCTAATTTCTGTATACGTTTCATTTTATTTTAAATTGAGGAGAGACTGCTCAATTATTCAGTTTTCTTCCTTGCTGTTACAAAGCAGCAAAGATGTTTAGTTCTCCAAAAATGATGTTTGCCAACCGCTACTGAAATGTAAAAAGCAGATTTAAGCTTTTATTGTTATTTCTATTATACTTCTAGACTGCTTTTTGCTTGAAGAAAATATTCTGCACCATTATGAAGAGTAGATGGAATAGAAAATAACAAAGCATTGAACTAAACTTCGGTAATTTGGTCCTTTAAGTACCAAACCTACTGAAAAGAAGGCAACTGTTATGTCTCACTACTTTGAGATGTGTACACCTGCCTCTCTTCTCAATTTCACCTTATAAGGCATTATATATGTATGTTTCTGCCTCTGTACTGAATTGCTTTTTTAAAGCCTAGAGCAACATGCAGGTAAAACACCAAAACAATTTTTGCTTTTTATTTTCCAGCATTCAGAAGTCCAAGCTGCATATAAGTATGTTATTTTGTACTTTGTCTTTTACATACACAACTGAATCCTTCCCCTGCTGTAAAATGTTGCATGGCAAGAACTCTTCCCTTTCATGTCAGTGCTTGGGTGTTCTTTACATGCCCCCTATATTGTTAAGATACATGTTTTCCCTTACTATCTACTGTTTGATGGGACAGTTCCTCACTACCCACTTTCTTTACTTGGTTCTCCAATTACATCCATGTGGTGGCAGATGCGCTGGCTTCATCACTAACACATCTGGGATATCTCCATCTTTTCTGGATGACTTTAGAAATAAAGACTTGATGATCTCCTCCAAGAATTGCAACATTTCTGAGTATTTATCCTGCCTAACATATAATATTTTCCTGAAGCAATTTTCTAAAAATTTTTAACATCTGTCTATAATTCTGGTGGATTTCCAGTTTTCACAACCATAAATTAGAAGACATAAATGAAAACTGAGCTGAAGATTCATTGTTTGACGTAAGCTTGCATAGTTTTGATAACCAAATCTTATTTAAGTAACTGAATACAGCTAATGCCTTGCCAAATTGTGACATTATATCCTTCTGGATATCCTCACCAGCTTGCACTGTGAGGCATATGAATTGACTCACTTATATTTCTTTGTCTGGTCATACAATACTCAAACTGGGAGTTACAGAGGTTCTCTGAATTTTTTTGTAAACAGTGATCATTCATCTTGCCATCCCTGAAGTGCTGAATAACCTTTTGTTCTTTATCTCACCCAGGTTGAGCCAGCACTTGAAAGCTGTCTCCAGCTAATGTAAATCAAGGATAGAGCTTGCTGTGTCTTACTACATCTGTGAGACACTACGTCTTCGTTGAACATAATTGCATGCTCCGAACCATTTCCTCAAGCCTATGTTTGTTTCAACTGTGCATGATGAATCTAGATGTAACATCTTGATACTGATAATAATTTATGTTGATACATCACAGCCAAAATGGTCTAAACTAAGAGGAGACGGAAAGTGTCAGTGTAACCTTAACTGATGTTTATGCTAGCTGGCTTTTAACATTGACCCTAAAAGGTTCTGCACTGACAGTCCTAAAGTCTAAGACTTCCTGTTCAATTAGAGAAAAAAGATTGAGAAGATGATGGATGGTCTTGCAGTCAAATCACACATCCAGGATTCTGGAGACCTGCCTGTTCCTCTGCATACCTCATGTGTGAATTTGGAAAGTCACTTATTCTCCTTTTCTCTCAGTTCACCAATGTGGAATGGGAATGATAATAACACAGCAGTGATAAGGCTAGTTTCATTTAGTTTATTCACAGAACACACTAGTATTCTGAGATACAAAGCACTATGTTATTGTAACTACCACTATCAAAGTAAGATTGATCTCAGTATGTGCTTTTTCACACTGCTTTTTTCAGGGTTGTTAGCCTATTCTGAAAGACATTGACCCCTGAGGTCAGAGTACTGTCTAGACCCCACATTAGCTCAGTTCTTGATATGTTTGCACATCGTCTTCCAAGAGGTTGCCAGCTGCCCAGAGGCGTGTTGCGATGATCATTCATACATTTGCTAGAACCATCTCGGCCCTTGATGGATGGTACTACAAAACCCCCCAGGGGTGATTATTACCCACTTTCACTGCTTCTAAGTCTTTGCTTCTTAAGTGATCCAGATGATAAACATTTTTCCTTTGCCCCCCTTCTGTCATTAGCAAAAGCCCATGCACCATTAAAGCCATGCTTTGATCTTTGTGTTAGGATAGAAGGCTCCGTACCCCACTTCCAATCCTTCATTTTTCCCTTAAATTGTCATGTACCTCGTCTTCTCACAGAAAGGACTAAACATAGGAGCGCAAGCACATACTGCATTGTCATACACTTGTTTCAAAATCACACATTTGCTGTACTGTCCTAGTAGCTGGAGTTGACTGACTTGAGCGAAACACCAGAAGTTTACCAGCATGAAAATGAAGCTAGTATATACATTTCAGTCCAGCAGCAGTTACATGTGAGAAGTCTAAAGATTTATTTTGAGTATCATTAGGAAGCATCTAAAATTGCTTTCATCAGTCAGCTCTCTTAATTAGCTAAATTTTAGCATCATTTAGCATCATCTTCATTATTTATGTCATCAGTTAAATTATAAAACTTGAAGGGTGAATCATGCATAAACAGTGTTTTTGAGTTATTGTCCACAAGAGGTCTCCCATTTGCTGAAAACCAGACTAACCAGCAGATGTTATGAAAAACAGACTGAAAAAATACAAGTAACTCAGTGGAATTTTTCACAACTTCTGAAGATCTGAACAAGGGTAAAAATATGTTCATCAGTCCAGAGTAATAATATTCTTGACAAAATGAGAGAGGTAAGGCCAGATCCTGATCTTGGGAAAAAGAAAATACATATGACAGTTTTTGGGAAGATACCCAAGTACTTTAAAGAAGGTCAAATTTCTACAAGTTTCTCCCCATTTGCAGGTTTGCTGTCGTAGTGTGGTAGAAGCTTTCACACCACTATTTCTAAACGTCCTATAGCAGAACAAATCTGGAGTTTGACTACTGTCTTTTGAGCAAGATTTTCAAGATTGTAATGATTAAATAGGCATCCATTTCGCATTCACTTTTTCAAGGTAAGAAAAGCTATGTTTCCAAACAACTGGTTGAAGAGAATTATGTCCATCATCACCTACGCCTACAGCCTGTAAATGCAAAAGCTGAGATAACTGTATTCAAAATATGGCATTTTTATCTTCTTTCCAACTGCATGTTTCGGATTCAAAAGAGAGATTAGCTACTTTATTTCCTGCAAAGTGCTGCAATTAATCCTTCTAACTGAATGACTATATTACTCTTAATGCCTCCTTGAACGAAGCAAAGAAAATCCAAGAGATTTCCCATGCTACCTAGGCCAAACTAAAGTGGACTAGCAGAGATCCAAGCCCATGTGAGATGGGCTTGACGTGAATGTTAGAGTTTATTTGCCACTGCAGGGTACAGTCACTAGATATATTGTATGTCTCAAGGTCATCAGATTCAAAATACATTCAACAAAAGCAACGATAAATTATTCAGTGACACTAGATCATGAAACATTTATATCCATCGAGGATTAATTAGCCTATTTACAAAGATACCCCTACAGCTAACACAGTACAGTTATTAAGTGTATGATATTCTCATTCAGGCGCGGGTAGCAGAATGTAGCTCACTGTAGCTCACTGTAGATTAAGTATCACTGACTATGTTCATACTAGTAAATTAAATAGGGACAGAACACGGGCTCAAGCATTGTCCGGGAATCATCTCTACTGTTTAAATATTTGCATGCTCTAATGGCAAATAGCATCCTCTCAGACAATGCTGAAGCACGTTTTGGCATTAGAACAGGCCAGAGAGTGGTCACAACGGATATTATGTACAAGACCAATGTGTTTTGCAGGGGAAAGACGGTTTAGCTACGTGACATGAGCTGTGCTGGGCCACTTATTCTCGGGGCCAGGGCTCAAGGCCTAGTCCATTTTATTTCATAATACAGCTGTCACCATGAAAACTCACCATGTTTAAAGAAGTATGTCTATTTTAAAAAATAACATCATTAATCCTTTTCCTCATGCTGACAAGCCCACATATGGAAAGACCAATCAGTGATGAGAAAGTGGATTTCCTTAAACAGTTGTATTCTGTTTTACAATTGTCCCTTGGCATGTGTTTAGGATAATGCTGTTATTATAAATGTGTCTCTCATAGAAAGCACTTGAATCTGCAGAATAGTTGCCATCACAGCCTTTGCTCATCCGTTCATAGCCCTTCAGAGTACTGACACAGAGGGCTAAATATTATTTCAAACTACATCTAGATGGGGGTGGACAGCCTTCCTAACTGTACAGGCTGCACAGAAGAATCTCCAAACAACAGAGTCGGGACGCATGTACTGGCAGCCCTGCTGAGAGCTGAGAATGCCTAGGACACCGTCAACAGGTGATGACAGATGACTCCTCAGTGGTTCCCCAGTCCCACTCCACTGTGGGACAAAACCATGCTGCATATGCAGCCTAGCCCTTGACAACCAGCAATACCAGCTTCATCAGCATGGGTTATCTTTCCTCTTCCCATAATGAGAATTTAGATTTACTTCATAGCCCATGCATCACTAGGGTCCTACTGATAGAAACGTGATCAATCCAGCATTTCGGATAGACGTGCAATTTGTGAGTTAGATGTTGTTACACTTCTTCTAGATGCTAGATTTTTTTTAACTGAATGAACTAAAGCCTTTAGTATCTTTGAGTAGTGGGCAAATGCAGTGGAAGGAAAAAAAATCATCCTCATTACATATTTCTATCATCTTTGTAAAGGTACATACACCTGCGTACAGTTTACAAACTGACATGATTATAGTCATATCTCCATTTTATCAAAATGGTTGTAATTTTTAAAAGTGTTTTCAAATTGCTTAATCACCAAATTCTCTGTAACTTTATTATGGCTACAGCATTTGACATAGATGTACAGTCCTAATTTTAAACTCAGCTAAAATTTTTAAATGATTTGAACTCCTTTGTGCCCTTTTGGAGGTAAGTTAGAACCTGACAAAGAAAATAGCTAATCCAGGAACAGAATTTGCTAGGAGAATCAAAATGGAAATTGAAAGACGAGTAAGAACACAGTGGGCACTCTTCTTGCCTCATTCATTTGTAAACTATGCATTAATGTATGGATATATGCTTTGCTACCACACACACAAAAGACAAGAAAGCTCAAATATTCAGCTTTTAGAGGGTCCCTACATTTTAATTGATCCTTCCTTATCTGTGGAAACTCTTAACAGTCCCATAAATATTTGAGCGGGACTAAACGCTAACAGAACACAAGGCACTGTCTGCAACTGCCCACAGCAGAACCCAGTCATGACTCTCCCTACGCTGCCAAATCTCAGTCCTCTCATCCCGTATGTTAGCTTCCTTCCATTCAGGAGGGACGAGACGAGAGCTAGCCACCTAAAAGCAGAAAAGACACCACTTAATAAATCCCTACTAGGACCAGAGTTGCTCATGACTGGGTCATGGTCAAGGTTACGGTCTTAGCGGTGGAACTTTCTTCCGAAAACACTCTGCAGAGTGGTAAGAATATGCTCACACAGAAGAAAGGAAAGATAAAGACAGTAATAAGGGTGGAGGCAGGGCACAGGTTAACTAAAGACACCCATGACAGGCATTTTTATCCTAATACCAAATGCTGTCTTAGCAAGCTTACAGATGTCTCAATTCAATTGCAATTCAAGAAAGTCATTTTAATTAAGGATAAGTACACTAGCTGGAACTATAAGTATGCTGAGAGGATTAACATAAGTCCTATCTCTTTGGACCATGAATACTAAAATCCACTTAGGTTGACCTTAGGCCATGAAGCTCTAATGAAAGTTAAAGTCTAAAATGAGATTCAGCTTACAACGTGCTAAGAATTCATTTGTGTGATGCTATCCCTTCACGGAAAAGTAGTTTCTTTGTCAAATGCCTGCTCAAGACCTTTTGCCCTTCTGCTTTCTACCTTCTGTTTCTGCTAAAATGTAATGAGACGGACTATTTCACTCAAAGAGGAACTGTTTCACTCAAAGAGGCACAAAGTGGATATCTTTAACAGAGACACTAGGCATAGATGGGGAAGAACAGTTTATGTATATCAGATTGAGCAGGGCGACCGTTAGGGTCAAACCTTAGCATTAGTCTAGATAGTCAAAACATCGTTTCTTAGAGATAAATAGGAATAACTCTGAAGTCTCACCTTAAAGTATTCAGCTTCACAGGTGGAATTTTCACTAATATGCGAGCCACACTCATCATGCACGTTGGCAAATTCAATCCCATCCGAACAGTAGTGTTCCTCCAACTTGTTGCGGCAGCACTGTACCTGAGTCATGCTGAGAAGAGAATGGAAGCAACGGGAGAAGAAAATTATATATGGGTCAAGAACATACAATGCAGCAAGTACAATGAGTATTTGCACCAGTCTCAAAGCAAGAGGAATGCATTTTAGTTACAGTTTAAATATTCTTTAGGTATAGGCAGAACGTCTAGGTAACACACTTAATACAGTTAAATTGCCTGTCTGCCTTGCAGTCTGCCCCAAACACTTTTTGAAATACGTGGATAATTTCAACCACATTTGTCACAGGGCTCAAGGTCTCCATGAGAGTCCACAGTCCTGCAGTCTGACTATCCCAGCACGTGCTCCCCCTTGTCCAAACACGGCACATTGAAGGTAGCTCAGAGTGTCGCTCTATGGGAGAACTGGACTTATGGGAAGAAGTGAAGATACTGAGGAGAGTCATAGTGAGAAACTTGAGTGTACTGCAGGGAAGAGGAGAAGAGAGACAAGGGAAGAGAAGAAGGGTATTATGGTGCAGGTATATGTAGAGAAGAGACAGGATAAAAATAAGTAGGGGACTCAGTGTTGCTATTTCCACTGCTTATAAAATAATTTCAGTTTTATCTTGGTTTCGGTTAATACATTGAAAACAGTATTACAGTTTCCCTCCTGTGGCAAAAAAAAAGGAGGAAGAAGGCTTGAAACTCCTCCGCCCCTGCCATCACTGCCACTTGTATGCCAAGCCCATTCAAGGAGATGTCTCCCCTCTTTTCACGCTTTATTTATGTGCAACTGTATTTTCCTGGGTAGTGTTGTGGGCAGAGCTTCCAGTTTAAAGCTCTTCCACTGCTAGCTCCTGTAATAGACACTGGGGAATAGGAAAAAAACGGGATATACGCAAGGATATAAACAGATCCATATGTTTTGTGATAACCTTCTTTCATTGGGAAAAAAGTTACATGAGTTGCTAGGGTGAAAGGAAACTATCCCAAAGGCAAACCAAGCTGATAAACTATTTATAGTACAACACCTAAAAGGCATGCTCTGATAGGTTAGAGCTGTATAAGAAAAGTACAGAAAACCCTATAAATGAATTTTTAAACCCATCGGCCAGGGAATCTTTATATCTCTTACAGACTAACAAAGCTGAACACATTCTCTTCCCTGTTAACAGTATTCACCTTTTTTTTTTTTTTCCAGCTCTGGTTACTTGAACTCATGCATAAAATATCTTCAAGGCTTACCTAGAAATACATAAAATCATGTACAGATATTCAGCAAATGAATACCCTTCAAATAAACTCTTAAAAATCCTTTCTCTACACTGTTGGAAATTCTGGATGTCTAGGGAAGAAGGATTAGTTGCACCACTGAACTGCAGGCTTCTATTATTGTCATCTGAGAGAAGTAGATTCCAGTGAATTACCCTTGGAGGAGCCTCCCTGTGCCTGATGACTATAACGGCGAGCTTTCAACTCGCATGCAGCATGAGGAACTCCCTCAGTCCTGGAGCCAGGCCATCCAGTCCAGCCCACTAAAAGCAAGGGACATGCAGGTACTTCACTCAAGATTCTGCATCTCTGTGTGTACTGGTAACACAAGGATGTCAGGCTACATTCCTGAAGATTCCCGATTCTTATTTATTGGATTTTGTAATGGTCTGACTGTGCAGTTTTCACTTGGAAAAAAACAACTAGGAGATTTCAATGCATAGGAACAAAACCCAGGAGAAGTTCATAAACAAATCATTCAAAAATAGACTCGAAAGTCATAGCTAGAAGTGAAGCCCAAGACGGTAACTTTATTTGGCAGAATATTTCAAGATTTTGATATTTGATTTTGTTCCAGTTTGGAAGAATATGTAGGTTTTTTTGTTGCTGAAATTCCCTCTGAAGCAGAATTTCCATTCCTTGCCCAGCTCTGGGGTGGTCTGCCTGTCAGGGCTCTGGAAGCCTGCAAAACCTGCACTTCAAGCCCAAGAGTGTGGGAGCTGAGACTTTCCAGCTTTTTTAGTTCTTCAAGTCCTGTTGAGCAGCTAGATATGTTAGCCACAAACAAACAAATAAAAAAACAAAACAGCAGCTTTTCAGTAGATCTGTTTGATTTCCCATGTGGTTTTTTTCAAATGCAAGTCATCTCTTTGAAATCCCGGACAAATTGGCAATTACAACCAAAACAAAAAAAAATGTTTCTTAAAGTGTTCCCCACCAGCTGTATTCATAATCGTGTGGCCCACCCTAACTGTAACCAGGAATTAAACATCAATTGAATGGAAATACCGGATTAAAATACCATTTGTTCATTTTCAGAACAACAACAACAACAAAATAACACTTCATTGCCCTAATTCTACAGTAAAGTTGGGCTGGCAGCAAATATTCCTTGACACTATAAAGATCTATCTATGTGGCTGTAATAGTGGTAGAAATCCTTGGAAAATGGCAGAGAAAAATGCTAGAAAAATCCACACTGTACTGGTCTTCCAACTGCAACTTAGTCCGCCCACTTCCCCTTTGCGTACCAGCTCACACGCTGATGGTCTCTACAGTATACCGTAAGCTCTTCAGACTCTGAGGCTTCTGAAATGAATTACCTCTCCCTGTCTTTGGTAAGCTGTATTAATGCCCCCAGCTTGCACACTATTATAATACATACCCACTTTCTACTTCACAGCAGGGTAAAGGAGCCATCTCTAATGACTAATAGGACAACTAGATTTCTCTTTTTGGGTAAAACCTGTCAACTCTTCCTATGTAGCACTCCTATTAACTTCAGGTCCATGGACATCTTACAATATTGGTCTCTAAAAAAGAGAAATTAGAGAAGTACTTTCCTGTTATTCTTTTAATTAATAATTAAAATAATTTAATTATTTAATAATTAATTTAATCCTAATAATTTTAAAAAAGCCAAAGGTCACTGCTTTATGTGCGACACTGATTTTCAGTTAAAATAGAGTAACATAATTTGTTGAACTAAATACCTATTGACATTATAGCTGAAATCTTACTAGGATGAAAAACATTAAATATGGAAACTCTGTGAACATACGGTCACATGACGGATGTTCACTCAGGATATTTCAAGGTAAAAGCATTCATTTTCTGGTCTCTGAAAGATGAGTTTTATTCATGGCTCACTAACGAACAGAAGTCATTCAGATATTTAAAAAATACATATTCTCTGTTGCAGATGCGGATCTAAAATTAAAGTTAGTTCATAACTAAGCAATTTGATTACAAATCAAGTGAGGATTTTTTTTTTTCATATTCTCACTCATGGACAACTTTTTGCTGAAAATGGAAAACTGTTTCTACAATTACAATGCCTGGATTTATAAGAAGGATTGTATTTGCAGCTATCAAGGTTATAAATACATGCAAATAATAAAAAAGAAACATTCACCTATAACCTTTCTCCTCCAGTAACTTCCTTTTGCATTTCATAGAGCCTCCTGCTGATGAGTCCCCACTGTCTGCAACTTAGTGTGGGCTATCGGATGGTACAGGTTATTGGAGGACTCAAAACATTTGAATGTGCTGATTATTTCAGATGTTAAGTCATATACACGTAAATATTGTACTTTAAGGACTGGATATGGATTTAATTCTGTTAATGCTTGGAAAAGCACACAATTTTATAACCAGCTGAAAAATTCTAAATCTGAAAATGTGAGACCTTATTAATTTTACTCCAACTAGATTAATATAAAAACTAGATTGGAAGATTCACTTTCTGTTAAAGTGTAATGAATCTTACTCCATTTCCATGGAGTAACTTTTCAACTGAAAATACACATGTCCATTTACCTTCACAATCCTTTTATCTTTATTATTATCCTCCCCAGAGGGTGCACTCCTAAACCATTATGGACTTCCTAATGACCTGTTATTTCAATTTCTTTCCATAAAATCATTAAAATTCAACTTTGGCATTAAAGCATTTTCTTTGTTTGTTGCCAGCCTAATTTAGACAACAAAAACCCTTTATCACCTTCTGCCTCATTCCTTCTTCTTATTAGCCTGTCTTGAAATTGCTCCACTGTTATTCATGTGGTTAATGGAAGACCTTCTCTTTGACCAAAAATATTAAAACTAAAAATGAAATGGTTCCACTACATCATTATTTTGCAAAGACAAGCTGGGTCTTCCACCCTTACTCTTTTCAGTTCAAAGTTTAACATGTGACACAATTGAATGTAGGAAAATTAAGAGCAAGATCTGGTATTATGAATGACACATATGATGAATGAAAATAATGTGGAGTGCCTCAACAACGAAAATATGTTTTTGATCATATGCTATATATTGACAAGGAACTCAAGTGGAAATTATTGATTTGATAAGCATCAAAATTAATCAGCTGCAATCCTTATCAACACTTCATAGTTCACTTAATAAAAGTATTCTTGCAGGAAAAAGGTAAAATTATATTGATACTATGTATTATATAAAGAAAAAATATTGATAAAGTTGGAGAGAAAGGACTGAGTTAGACATTATTCACAAAGTGCAATAAGCAAGTCATCCCAAACGAGTGGTAATAAAACCCTGACAACATCGCCCATTGTTCTTTTATCCTTCTGACTGTTAAGCCAAAATCTTAGTGAGCGTGAGGCACACTTAGCACGCTGCAGAGAAAAGGTAATAATCAATAAAGACAACTTCTCCCAAAATAACTTTAAACAGCTTTTTCAGACATGAAGCTGTCACAACTTTGATGTCCAGAATCTCAGGCTCTTTCAGGCCTACAGTGACATAAATCAATAAATATCTGTCAGCAGTTAAGCATCTGGTACTTATCATTCCGAACACTCTTGTCTTATTATTTCCTGGTGTTCCAGTCTGAGTCCGTAACCAAGAACTGCCACTTGTCTCTTCCTGGGGACAAGGACTTTTTTGTTCCGTTTTTGTACAGTACCTAGCAGAATGTTCTGTAGCTCCTTCTTTTATGCACTCTTGCAACACTACTAATAAATAATACTTGGAAAAGCACACAATTCCCAGTGTAACTCCAAAAAGATTTCAGACAGTGCTAAAGACACGCAGTTCTCATATGGAGATATGCTATTTCTGGCCCGGGAATTAAGTTCACTTGCTAAAAGCTCTGGGCAAGGGAAATTCTACATTTTGAAAGGAAGAAGATTTATTAGGCAGGTTGAGTTCCAAAATTAAATGGCAGCTGTTTGCAGCTGCTGTGAGTTTGACCACATCACAAAGAAATGGATGAATGGACAAAAAGCTGGTGTTATGACAGTCAAAGACATCGTTCATTAAAACTCTACACTCATATCTACTGGGTCATGAAGGCACGAAGAAAGATATTGTCATTTTCCAGAGTGATGATGTAACGACATATACTCATTTGTGGGAAAAACAACCACGACATGAGACTGCACACATGGCTGGACATTGATGCAGGAGCCTTGTTTCAACTTAAACGCAACCGAGTCAACAGTTGCCAGATAGACCTTACGAATTCAGGAGAACTTCAGACCGGAGGCTGGCTCACCTGACATTTGCAGTCTGAACTGCACCACGCTCAGTGAGTCATGCTCACACAGAGAGCAAAAGAGAAAATACATGTGGCAAGTCCTTCAAGAATGATAAGGGACTTTTGAGGACGGATCATGAAGTGATGTTGAAACCCAGAACCTTCCTTTCCAGGAAGCAAGGTAGATACTAGAGTGGCAGTGTTTGTGTGGAACCCCTCCTTGATTCCTATAAATGTGCTTTAAATAGTTGAAAGAAAGTTACGTGAGTTCTGACTCAATAGGGCAGCTTACTCCTTACACATACAAAAGAAAAGGTGATTAGCAAAAGAAACTTTAAAAGTGGTCTTACTTAGAGGGAAGCACTGATTCTGAGATGTTATGTTATTACTATTCTAAGCAGAGGATTCAAAGACATTCAAAAAACAACACGCATGCCAATTCTTGCACAGCAAGTTGGGAAAAGTACTTGCTTACATCCAACGTTTTTTATATTGCATGGTCTTTGCAATCTAACTGTGCAAAATCATTTTTACTTCAGTAACTTCATCAAATCTGCTCACTTCACAACATATTTTCCTTTGTATTCAACCGCTAACCTTGTAAATCCATGCTGAAATACACAGGCAAAAAAGCTCCCTCTGGCATGAAGCAATACAGGATTATACACCCAATGGGCCACATTTTTTAAAAGCATCCAAAGTCAGATGATCTACAGTTTGTCCAACACCATGCTGCACTAGATACTCAAAAGATCCCAGCTGTGGTTTAAGCAACTAAATAAAAGACAGATTTCATTCTGCCTTCTCCTCTCCTCACAGCTCCCATTGCATGTAGGTGTCTAAAAAGGAAGTAAGCGCTTTTGAAAATCTGAAACCAACAAGGCATCCTGAGCTGTCTAAAAAATTCCTGTCTAAATATTCTCCCCTATTTACACCTCAGAAAATATAATGAATCTGGGTTTGGTTTTGTTCACATCTCTATGCAATAGGAATACCTTTAAAAAAATCAGTGTAATTTCTCTAGTGTACTTGAAAAGGGAAGCATGCTCCCCCAATGTACATTTTGACTCCAATTACACCAGTAATTACACCAGTAATTGACCCTTACTTTTGTTTCTGAAACGGCATGAGAAAGTGATTCTGCTGTATCTTTCATAGATATGCCAGTTTGTGATCACAAGTGAGATAAAATAATATTGCTATTAAAGAAAGTAGTCAAAGGAACCACTTCCAGTCATTTTTTAGAGAGCAGTCATGCCTTAAGTGGAGCTATCTTTATTTATGCTACAGTCGTGAGTGGATGCCGCTGAACTGAATTTATCCTCTTCTATTTTTGTCAGCAAAGTGCTCACCCCTCTTACTGCCCAGTCCAACACACTGAATATGTCAATTTACCCATTATTTAATTTACCTTTACATCATTATCATTTAATTCATTAGACTGCAATTTGCTGCCTGTTCAAAGTGCCTAGGATCTTTCTGTCTATGCATAAAAGCTAGATGAAGTATTAGTAAGCTTTTTTCAGTTTTCTCATGAAGGCCTAAAGGCTCTCTAAAATTGCACACTCTGAAACAATAAATTACAGTTATAGCAGAATCTCAACTCATATTAATCAAATGATCATTAAATTATAAAGATCCTTGCTCCCAGATTGTTCAATAAACTTGGTTTCCTGTTTTTCCTGTCTTTGTTTTGTCTATAACTCTGCTGACTCTTCAAGTATTTCCTAAATTGGGATTTAAGTCCTATCTGTCAATTCTTCTGCGTAAGAGACTGCTTTCAATGCCAATATAAATGCAAAAGTCAGAAAACATGGACAGACTTGACTGCAAGGCACATTCTTTCCATAACAAAGACCACTCCAACACTCCTACAATTACCAAGGTTAAATCACTTTGCAATTCATTTGAAAAGATACAGGAGAGCAAGGTAATGTGTTTTAAATGGAGAAATATAAAGTCCTCAGTGAAGCTGCCTTTCAAACTACCAACCACAAATTATTAGCTCCACAAATTAAACGTAACAAGCGTATTTAACGGCAAAAATAATGCAAACTACCATTGACAGAAGGAATGTGCATGTCTCCAATAATCTGAGAGATTCAGTGTAACCAAAATATTACCATACAAACAAACTTTAACATTTAACTTCACTAGTTCATTCCCTAGATTGCATAATACCAATTAGTTTTCTATTACTTTTCTATTGATGTCAGCAGAACTAAGAAATCTATTTATTAACTAAAGGTTACTTTTTTCTACAGTCGAATGCATTTGTTACAAGTCAGACACTCTAAGTAACTTGGGATCTCCCTGTCTTAAGGATTTTAAGTTCCCTCATCCAGGAGCACAATTAAAAGCTTCAGGACAATTATCTGCATAGCACCCCCCCAGGAGAAACAGTTTTAAAAGGCTGTCATACATACATACACATGTATACATGCAACCTGTAGATTATGTATGTACAGCATCTGCTTTGGTTCTTGAAAGACTTCTGCCCAAGACTTTGTATGACTGCTCAGCTAGATTCTCAGTTAATAGGCATTGATGAAGCTTTTCTGAAGCTAGTAGAGCTGTGCTGAGATATACTGACTGCAGACACAGTCCAAGCCCCGTGAGTAGAGTACAGCGGAAGAACCTCTTCTTTGCAAAACATGCTGTGGCTATTCAGCACCATATGTGCTGAACAGGCTAGAGATGGATGATCCTGCACAAGACCAACAGCAGAAATGTAAAGGACTTAATGGAAGAAAGGTGCTTAGGGATTTTAGGTTTCTCCAAAGCTAGACATGAATTTGGAAAACTTAGATGTAAGAGCTAGGTGCCTCATTTTATTATCAGCTTTCATACCTGCTATTCTCCATGGTTTTATATAAAAACATGAACTATAGTATAATATACAATGCATAATTATATACCTGCATTCTCTGGATTCGGAAGTTAACCTCGGTAGAGAAGCACATCTTCTGTTTTTGTTTGCCCATTCAACACCCTTGTCGCAGCATTCTTCCATCGACAGTTCTGCAGAACGACAGAAAGAAAGAAAAAAACAGCAACATATCTAATATGACCTTAGTAAATGGTGTTGCATCTGCTAGTTAAAAAAAATTGAGGGACAATTCATTTTTCCCTCCACAGTATACCGAGAGAATTGTACACCCTTCCAAAACGCAGCCATGGCCAAATGAGGCAGCCATCAGCACCTTGCAATCAGCCCCAAGTTCTGGATCTATTTCTTCTTCAGTGGAGCAAACTGCCGCTTCCCTTATCCTTCCATATAAAGATGCAGGTGAAGGACTGCTACTCCAGCATGTAGCAGTTCAGATAGAGTACTGCATAAATCTGTCAGATTGCACTCTTTTGTCATCAAAGGTGGCAGTAGCAATAAGCAACCTTTTTAAATCCTAAAGAATACAGGATAAATCAAATAACTGTCTGATATGAAAGACAGATGACTCTCATTACAAGTTAATTTACAGAACTTTTTTCCTTATTATCCAGCTAATCTGTTTTAATCTAAAGTATGTCTACAAATGCAGAAGTATTGTACAAAGAGACAGAATGAAAAGAATGCATTTTGATCACTTGACATATTAAAGAACAATTAATGTAGAAGGCAATTGATACCGATCCTCAAAGTCAGAGGAAAGGCAAAATGAAGATAATTATTTGTGCAGAGTATGATTTTGGCAAAAGTCTCTAATTCAAGAAAACTAAATACTATTAATGAACTGACAAGCACTGCATGTCTGCTTCATATTCCAAGTGCAAAAGTTCACTGCACAGCAGGTATATTAGAACTTGCAATAAAACAAGAGTCACATTTTCCTATTAATTATCTTACAGTTCAGATCCTGAACAGCTCCTTGCGTAACAGATATGAAGTCTGTGTAAAGAAAGCTGCTTATCATGATGGGAAGCTTCCTAATATTTTCTCTGTTTCACATGCTTTCTGACTACTGATTACTTTAATGAAAAATAAATAAGGCCTTTTCATCTGTGGGTCTCAAAACGCTGCACAGCTGAAGACAAATCTCATTTACTTCTTAGTGATGGAGAAGCTAAACACAGAAGGATGAAATGACTTGCCCAAAATTGCACAGTAAGCTGGTGGTAAACAGGCAATATACATCAGCTCATTCCCAAGCCAGCTCTCTACCCTGGATCATACATGATCACCTCTTTATTAGTTTTGCAGCAAGCACATCTACAAGGTACAAAATTCAACAAACAGCAGCATTATCTTCAAGACTACCCATCTTCACAAATCACTTCCTGTGGAGTCTAGTAAGGACAAGCGTCTATCTCCTCCACATCTCCCTATACCAGTTACAAGATTATCATTCCCCAGGTGCTCTGGCTGTCTGGGGGTTACAGCCTCTTTCCATCTGTACATGCATGCACTTCCTAACCTGTTGTAGTCAAAGTAAGTGGAGTTATTAGTTAACCTGTTTATGATCACACTCGTTTTGACTGAAACAGATCAGGAGGAGTTCGTATGAGTACCTCACCTGGCAGAACTTCCAATGCAGGAATGTGGAAAGCAGTTAAAAGCAACTACAGAAGTTAACCTTTTCCACTAACTCAGTAGCTTTCAGAGAAAACATCCACACACAACCTATGTTCCTGACTGGTGACTATAATCCACCAATTCAAAGCACAAAGTAAAAATAAAAGAGAGAGATCTTAAGATGAATCAGTCAAGGCAGTTCCCTTAAGGCAGTTACGCATGCCACTGTGCAAAGCTCTGGATTAGTGAGTACAGTTCTGGTTATCCCTGTCTAAGAAAAATCAAATCAAAATGGGAAAAGCATAGAGAAAGGCTGGGAGGATGTTCAGTGGAATCAAAGGCCTATTATAGAAGGAGAAGCTGTAAGAAATACAGCATTTTAAGCCTAGTTAAGTAAAGCTTGTGAAAGGATAGGGTTCCTGTCAACAAATATTTCAGCAGTAAACAACAATCAGAATTATGGGAGCAAGTAAACTAAGTATTTTTTTAATAAGAAACTCATTAAATTTATAAATGGAATTATATTAAATGCTAGTATGTAATAGAGCTGTGGACTCTCTGACCCAGGACATCCTTCTAGCCTTACTCACTCACATATCCAAAATAATGAGCGAAATTCTGTTCTCTGAGGTCAAGGCAGCTATTTCTCTTGAATTCCTCAGTGTGTGCCAGTGTCTGAAAGCTAATTGTAGTTTATAATGCTACAGAGAGAATCAGTCTGGTAAATATCTGCCTGTGCTGAAAGCCATGAATTTGATCTGTAGTGTCTGATGTCTTCTTTGGGAATAGGGACCCTGTCTGATGCTCTCTGCCTGCCAGTGTACTGCGAACAAACATTTGATGCATCGAATTTTGTGCAATGTGTTACAAATAAGCATGTTTTTAGTGCTGTTGTCTGCCATTAGTCATACTCCTGTTGAAAAATGATTCATATTTAATTCAACTGCAGAGCTGGCCACAGGTTTTTGCAGGGCTTTTTACAAAAGGGGTTTTTAGCCAAGTTCTTCCCCAGAAGGACGATCCCTGGCTCTAGATACCGATTCTTCCTTCCCAGCTCTGGCAACACACCTCTACTCCAACCAAATAACTCAAGAATGCAAAGCAGGCCAAGCAAAGCAACCTAGGCTGCAGGAGTGTATCCAGACAAAGAAGGATTTGGGAGAGCTTGTTGAGGGAGAACTGCAATCCAGGCTCATTTTTTTCATGACATCACAATTCATATCCTCCAAAGATCTTGCCAAAGACCTCTGGAGAATAGAGGGAAGTGAAAAACAAGCAGTAAAATAAAGGACTCCACCCTCAAGGCCATTCTTCTAAAGCATAACAATAAAAGAGTGAAAAACATTTTCTGCAGTTTTGCTTTGCAGTTGGGCCATTCATGGACACATGTCTACTCTTTTCAAAAATCCCAGAAACTGCTTGTCTCACACTTCTGGGGTCAAATTCTGATCACGCTGGAATCAATTTTGACTTTTTTGGCATCCAGAGTTGTTAATGAGTATTTAGAAACAGGACAGACTTATCGTCTCACAACTATATTTTTCCAGTGTTGTGGATTCAATTGTACATGTGCATATACATGTGGCTCCCAGTTGCAAGTCTCTGGGCAAGCAATTCATACTGAGGCCACTTGTGCCTCCTTGTGCTCTCCCCAGCGGACCAACAGTATGGGGTGGCCATGGTTTGTCCTCACCTCTCATAACTAAAAGTTTGTAATGCCCAGCGTCTGAAAGTCAGGGGCAGTGAAAAGCAGATGACAGAAAGTGTTTCGATTACACCAGCTCAAAGAATCTCACTTACCACCCAGAAAGCCATGATTCTTTTTTTCCTCAGAATGTGACCATGTGGCTCCTACTGCAGTTGATTAGCTCATGGCACCCCTTAGCCCTGGACAGCCAAACATGATCAAATGGGAATGACGGTGCTGCTCTTCTGAACCTGCTTGAACTGCTACAGCAAGCGCATAACATTTCATGCAAGTCAGCCACAGAAATCCCAGGAATCGAGAGACAAGACATTTCTGGGAAAGACCGATGATCTTGTCCATGTTCAGCTAAAATGTGCTCTTTTTATTCGGAGGAAGAAACCCTCCAGGAAGGTTATAACATACAAAATAAACCACACAGTGTATCTGTGTAAGTTTGTGAAGACATCATTCAGCTTTTTGATATCATAAGATAGAAAAAGATGAAGATAAGTTTGAGACCTGACAAGATGGTAATGTGCTCACTTTCTTTTCACTCAGATACAGTGATTTTTCAAGCTGACTGACTGATTCAGGGGAAAAATCCAAGACTATCTTGAATAAAATCAAATGCAGCTTCATCCCCACCTGGTCCCCATACAGCAATATGTGCAGCAGGGCACGTGAAAGCATTTCAGTCTTGAAAACTCTACATGTCAGTGTGATAACAGCTGGGAAGCCTGTCTTGATGTAAAGGTGGTATCTGCAGCATACTGAGAAAGATGTCAGGAGTCTTGGGAAGAAGACAGTAGAAACACAGCTGGAACTCACATCTCTAATTTTATGAAAGCTGTCATGAAGACAATAGATAACTTTATATATACAGTATTCTATATACACTATTAGGTAACAAGTGATTAAAGGTCATACAAATTAAAACTTTGTGCACACGACCCATTCATGTGCTAACTATGAACTATGCTTACCTAGGCAAAACAGGTAGCAGCATATGGTTGTTTTTAAAAAGGTAGTTTGCTAATCTTAACAGAACTCCCATATTGTGTGGGAGTTCAAAGCCAGAAATGTGGTTAAAATCTGTATAACCTTAGACTTGCATGATGTAATAATTGCTTATTCAGCTGCTACAATGAATATTTTCTGCAAAAGAAAGATAAGCATAAGAATGTTACCCAAAAGCATGATTCCTGGAATGAGAAACCCTGAATTGTTTCTGGGAACTGTGTAAAAAAATAAGTAAAAATGACTAGATAATTTTCATGATACAAGCATTCTAACTAGATCAAAAAAGGGCAGATTTTTAAAGCAGCAGTCTACAATAGCAGCCATTCAGTAGAGTTGATGATGATGAAAAAGCCTATGTGCAGTCCAGGATTAGATAGCTGTTCATTACTCAGTGCTGATCTATCTACTAAACAGTTATAGAACTGTTATCACTGATGATAATATCAAAGCCAAAGGTGCATGCACGCATAGGTGGGCTTATTAAGCTTGTGCTGGTAAAATATTTCAGTTCTTCAACACAATAAGTGATGTGGTGACCGTGTTTTCAATCTACAAAGCACATTACTTGATGAAGCTTGTAAAATTGTGGTGCAGGTCTTGCCCTTCCCTCAGTCTATTCTCCATGAGGCTCAGCACTCTGGAATGTGAGCAAACAGAACATGATTATCACTTCTCAGCATACACAGACACTGGCAGCAGATGGACTCTGTGAAAGTGCAGTTCTAGTCCAACCTTTCAGAAACAATATGCCATCCACCGTTTTTGGAACTCATGCTCACACCAGACATGCATTGATTTAGGCTT